ACCTTCTCCGTTATATACTTGCTTGCCATGATCTGAATCTTGAGTTCAATAGCCTCTCCTTTCTTGCCTGAAAACCCCGCCAGTCCCTGGATCTGCTGATCAGGGACTGGACTATACCGAGGGCGTAGTTTCATGCCTTCAAGGAATTTCCGGAGGAATAGCAGAGATCGATCAAAACGCAGTTCCTCGGCGCGTATTTCGTCCTCCGAGGCAATAATCACCATGGGCTCGTCCTCGCCACTCATGGTACCATCTGTGTATGATTTTAGCTTTGCTGCAGATGCCATAACCTGCTGCACTGAGCGGTCCACGAGAGAAGCATGCGTCGCGTCGATCACCTCCTTCGACCTTCGCGTGACAAGGTTATTATCCAAGTACGTCCGGATGATGAAGTCTGTTGCTTGATTCTCAACAGTGTTTGGAGGCGCATCCAACATGACTTTCCACATTCTCTCGATCCCAGGTACTATAATGACATCCTCAGCATCGGTGATATTTTCCGTGGTGCGTCTGATTGTGTACAGAATCGACACCCTGATGAACTCGAGGACTTGTTCATTGTAGTCTTGGGGTAGCAGGGTCGGCAAGTGTTGCTCGATGATCAAGTCCAAGAGGATATTTTCGTCCTTGTTCTGTTTTATTCTCACTGCATGCGTCAATGTCTCCCAAGCGCGAGCTCTGAGGGATGTTGAGAGAGGTGAGAATGCATAGAAGGATGTCCAAAGTTCCTGCACGAGATCTGCGGTGAAGACTTCAGGTACATAGATAATGAAGTAGTACAGGCAAGCGGATCGCACCTCGTACATTGCCTCGATTAATTTGACGGGTACACTGCGAGCCAGCATCAGGTGAAATTGGTCACGCAGGTACGCAAAGTCGGCAATCAACAGAGCCAACAAGTTGAACTTTTGTGTGGCTTCAGCAACACCTTCTCCTCCCAGCATTGGTAATAGGCAGTTCAAGGCTTGAAGATCACCAGTGGCGTATTCGGTGTGGGCTTCGAGGTTCGAAGCCGCCTCGGACATGATCCGATTCCGCTCTTCCTCGTCAATCGTGGCAAAATTAAGTTCAGTGCGACCCAACGACAGAACGTTAGTCAGATGTTGGGCAAAGTCCCTCCGTATGAGCGGCGCTTGTTCAAGAGACGCGTTTTCCTCCATGGAGGCTTCGCGCAGCAATCGTATGCACAACTTTCGTGTTATCGGATCTGTGGGTATTCCAAGATGGAGAGGTGATATGCCAGTCTTAGTTCTGAGATTCTCAAACAGAAGAGCAGCGAACTGCAAGACGTGCAGATCGAAGCGCTGGATGGGATAATCGGATAGTTTTCGGCAGATGTAATAAAGTGCATGAAGGTCGTATACAGTAAAGCACATTTGAAGGAGATTGAAAATCTCATGCGCAGTCCGCGGGTCTTGGCTCTCGACAATGGTTTTCCAGATATTGTCAGTGTCGGCGTCTGTGTATGTCCCAGAGACGCAGAGGAAACCGACCACGTTATGGGCTCGACGAATCAACTGGGGGTGGGAGTCGACCCCGACAATATAGTCGACCAATTGGTTCTCCTTGATGAACTTGACCAAGAACTTGACCAGGGGGTGGGACATTGCTGGCTGGGCTTGGCCACTGATATGTTCTTTGAAGACTTGAACAAGATCAGTTGACATACTGTCGACACCGGAAACTCGAAGTTCCATCCGCCCATTGGTGATGAATTTGCGAAGCGTCTTGAACTTCCAGGCGTATGGCATCGTGCTGGGAAGGTCAGTGAGATCCGAGTCAGCGAACCCAACCCCTGCCGCAGATATTATGTCCTTGCCGATCTGCGGGATATCGACCGCGATTGTCGACACCATTGGATTCAAAAGGTCAATGATCTTCCCCGCTGTCTCTAGATTGAGCCATGCCGCTTGTTTCACAATGGCTTGCTGAATGGCATGGTCTGCTTGTAAAATTATTTCCGCAGCGCTGTTGCGGATGTGGTCAAGTTGTGAGAAGTCGGCATAGACAAAATTTGTCTCAGTACTGTACACATTGGAGATCGGAGCCATGATACAGTTGGTCACCGAGAGCAAATTGTGGAAAGGTCGAAATAGATCAGCTCGCTTCGGTATTAGAGCGCATATTTCGGCCATCAAGGCGGAGATGGATGGTAAGAGAGACACGGTCGACGGGTTTCCAAGGCGATCGATGACGAGCGTGTAGAAGTGGGTGCGATCGAAACTGTGTGCCCGACACAAAGCATCGTAGAAAGGAATGCGGACCGAGAGGATCCATGTCAGTGGTTGTATGTAGTTAGCACACACCAAGCTGAGGGACTTGAGCTCGCCGAGTTCTGCATCCTCACGGAGCAAACGAAGTCTTTGGGTGTCAAAGTCCATCAGAAGTTTGGCAATCTGAGCAAAGGCGACGAAGAAGTCGACGAGGTCTTCGGTCCGAGCTCCTGGAGGCGGACCGGCCTCTCTTCGCAGCAGGCCTTCGATGAGATCTGGGAATCGTTGCCAGAAATCCTTCTCCTCTTCAAGCAGTGTCGGGCGGAACTCGTCACAGATGGAGACGAATTCCATCATCCAGTCCTTGACTTGACGGAATATAGCCCCATTCTGACCACCAGCGTGTTGGAAGTTTTCAGAGATGCGGACAAGCACTCTATGCGTACTCCCGGGGGCCCATTCTTGAGCAAAGGGGAATGTACGATTTACATAGCCAGGTGGGACCGGCTGCAGGTGGTCAGATGCGGATGGACTTCCCCCACTAATACGACCCGTCCACCTTGTCTGGTTTGGATCTTGGTCAAAGTCTTCAGGCTCAGCAACCTCGATTTCAGGGCTCTTGCTTGGGGAGGATGATATCGAGATGATCTCCGCCGACTCAGTCGGATGTGGTTGGGGGCCAGGTACCACACTGTCATCCCCCTTTGGGTCGTCACAACCAATGGGGTTTTGTGGAAGCGAGGGATTGGACGGCATATCTGCTGCTTCAGCCTCGGTGGTTGGTTGTGTGATTGATTGAGAGGACAACGGGCGGGTGTTGATGGTAACCTTGCTGGTAGGAGATATGAGAGCGGGAGGGGCTACAGTTCTGGGAGGCAGCGGCGGAGTCTTGACGACAGCTCTTTCCTCATCCCGGTTTGCAAGGGCGACTGGCACTGAAAGTGCGGGGTTGGAATTGTCTTGTTGTAAATCCGACATGACATGCGTCCCATCAGGCTTAGCATCACTCAGCCTTGGACGCTTGTGCTCGTGCTCAGGCAGCTCAGAACCTTCGGTGGAGTCGCTTCGGTTGCGAATCGAAGAATCGGACATTGAGGACGACATGTTACGAGAGTTGCATCTGGAAGTCCGCAGGAGCGCGAGGTCCGCGTCCAAGAGAAGGAGAGCGGTGAATTCAAGACTGACCGGAGAATGAAGGAGTGGTTGAGGTGAGGCAGTGAGAGGTCTTGGCAAAGGCTGTAAAAGACCGCCACTCAGAGACAAGGCAAACCAGGATGACTGTCGGATCAGGAGAGGGTGAGCAACGGCTGGCGACTGATGCCCACGAGGGTCTTCACTGCATGGACAGCCGATCTCGAAGAGATTGACTGATGTCGACTTGGGCCATGTCTCTCGGCCAGGGGATGTTCAGTGACGGATGGAGACACGGGAAGGAGGCTTTGTTCGGCGTGTGGTGATGAGAGGCGGGGCCCAGGTGCTAGTCTTGGGGGTGTGGGAAATTTACGACATGAGATCGGGAGACGCAGAGGGGGATATTGAATAGTCAGGAGATTTCTACCGATAGGCACGTAGAATGTAGATTCTGTCTGAGGATGGAGAGGAAGGAGAAAATGGTCTAGATGGTGGTTTTTGTGAGTCGAATGGTCGTTGGACAGAGATGGGACCAAGGCTCGCAGGCTGCCGTTGACTTACAGTAGACGAAGTTGTTAGGGGACCCGGCACACTTGCTTATTGGCGGTCCCACCATCACCAAATTCACCTAACTCACCGAAAACGCGTCTGGCGCGTGAGCTGCCCAGCTAATGGAGAGCATGGAGGGGCTTCCCAGTTCTGCTAACTAATCCTGGTATTCTCACACGTCATGCTTCCCCCCTGCGCCTTGTCAGTCACCATCACAAAGATTTTTCTTGGGTGGATTGCCAGTATCGGTGGGCATGGACAAACGAAAGAAACCAGCAGTTGTGCATTCTTTATCCCTCCCATATCCAGAGCCACAATGGTATCTCTCTCTCTCTAGTGAGAAAAATATTCCTGCAGTCTACCACCCAACTAACTCTAATTCTTTTGCCAGGCCCACCATCTCTCCTGACACTGAGCAGGCACTCCTACAACTCCTACTCCGGCTACTACAGCCCATTGGCGACTTCAGACGCGACCATGTTCTGCCTTCCAAGGGCAAAAGAAGAGGTGGGAAAATAAACAAGAAGATGCAAGAAGACTCTATGCCAGAATGGATGCCTGATGTTTACGACCATCTAACTCTCGGATTTAATACCACGGTCCGCAGGCTTGAATCCTTAGCCCACCAGCGGAAGCCCAAAGTGCTATCTCAGCACACGGACGACGACTCATCACCGGGACATACTCATGCAAATCTCTCAGTTGTCTTTGTTTGCCGCCACAATCTGCCTGACATAATGACTTCCTCCATACCTTTGCTGTTAGCATCCTCAGCTCCCGCAACCACCAGGGCCAGGCTAGTCGAATGGTCTTCACAAGCCGAAGAGCAGGTTGCTCGAGCACTGCACCAGCCTCGTGTCGGTGTGCTCGGAATTGGGGAAGGGGCGCCTGGCGCTGAAACGCTTTTACGATTTGTTCAAGACAATGTTAACGCCGTTGATGTTCCCTGGCTAGACCATACACCCAAGCCCACGTACCATTCCGTCAACATCCAAACAGTCGAGTCAGGTTCCAAGCCCAAGGCCACACTCCAAAATCGGAAACGAAAGAATCCCGGAGACGGCTGAAAGTGCTTGAAGCTGGTGAGCTGGAAGACTGATCCAATCATCAACGGATGAATGGAATCCGGACGGGGACACGTCTGCGGTATTCAATGTAGTCTTCACCAAAGAAAGAAACCAGATGCCGTTCTTCATCTGTGAGCAGAACCATTAGCACATCGAGCTATGGAGGAGGCATGAAGCAGCCACTTACGAATAATTCGATGATGGAAGAACTTCCACAATACCACGGCATATATTACAAAGCAGATGCGGTTCCCTAGCAGCACTTGCGTTCCCAACCCCCACCAGAAGAATCCGAAATAGGATGGATGTCTGGAGAAGGCATAGACTCCGTCCGTCACCAGGACATGGTCTGCTCTCTTGGTCCACTGGACAACATGATTGAAGTTTGTCTTTGCCTGTCGCATGGCGGCACTTCTGACAAGTTGTCCCAGGACGATCAAAGTGGCGCCCAACCCGACAGTTATTGAGGATGGAACTGACGGAAATATCCTTGGGATCTGGAATGGCAGACTCAGCCAGACTGGGGCGTACTGAGAATACAGCCAGTACCGAACCAGCAATTCAAGCATGGCCGAAGAGTGGGCAGCCGCATACCCAACACCGTTTGAAAGTAAGAGGAAAGACGAGATTGAGGCATCTGGAGGATTGTATCGTGCTGTCATGTCAAATTCGAGGTAGTGAAACAGGGCCAGTGCTGCAACAAAACATGGTGCCCTCCAAAGTCCATAACCCCAATACACCAGCTCCACGGTCAAGATTGTAGAAATGCCCAGCGCAATGCCCAACCCAAAGGCGCGAATCGCAACCCCTGATAGTGCCCGTTTGCCTCCCGGCAGGTATTGCGGTGGGATGTACATGGGCTGCAAGTTCGCGCGAGTACTACCATTGATGTGTTGTTGAATCCGATCTCTGGGGAATTCATGGATGATCCCTGGGGAACTGGGCGCTGAGGAGTCCGACATGCTTCCCAAATGCCGACACCTCTAACAGGCGGGATAGAGGACACCGGGAATGTGGCTATTTAAGGGGCTGTTGTTCTGGCGATCGTACCAATTAAAGTACCCACACTTTGGGAACTTGAACAGATGACATCTTCAACTAAGCCAAAAGAATGAGTGAATCAAAGAGAATTGCATTACTTGAAAAGAACAATAGTAAGGAAAACGCCTGAAGGGGGTTGTCGAAAGGCTCAAAGCGTCTGCAGAATTGTGTCATCCGACTCTCCTCAAAGAGGCCGCCAAACATGCCAAACACGCCAAACAAAAGGCTCGGCACATCATTTCGCATCAATGATGTTCCGGTCCCGATCTCTCTGATTATGTCCTTGACAGGGCCATGCCATCTTCTTCCTCTTCCCTCCCCATCAGCCACTCAAACTCTTGTCGTTGGGCTATTTGGTACCATGTGTGATCATCCAGAGTGGCAGAAGGCTCAACGAGGCGAACTCTATCATGCTTTTGTCCCCGAACTCATCGCAGCTCGAGATCGATGCAAGCGAGCCTGTGATAAGTTGAATTCCTCCGAGTCCACCACCCGCCGCCGAGTAATCGAACTGTGGAGAGAGTAGGTCGACGCGAAATCGGTCACATATACAAAACCCTCCTGGGGTATAGTCTCATGTCTGCCTTGCAGGATTACTAACGACACCCGCCCCCTGCCACCTCTGCAGCCATCGTTGGTAGACGACGACAAGCTGTTCGAAAAGGAACCTTGGATCTGCGGTCCACTCCGTGCCGATTACGGCTTCAACATCTTTCTTGGCCAAGGAGCTCAATTGAATTTCAACTCGACCTTCATTGACACCTGCCCCATCCGCATTGGCGCTCGTACCTTGGTTGGACCGAACTGCAGCTTCTATGCTGGGACCCATCCTTTTGACCCGGCGGTTAGGAATGGAACCAACGGTCCCGAACTTGGAAAAGAGATAAACATTGGCGAAGACTGCTGGCTGGGAGGAAACGTTATTGTCTTGCCCGGGGTGACGATTGGCCGAGGCAGCACCATTGGAGCCGGAAGTGTAGTGACAAAGGTAGCGAGCTTGCGGCTCTCCTTACTCTTACACAAAAATTTCCCATCTGACTTCTTTACAGGATATCCCTGCCTTTCACGTAGCGGCCGGCAATCCTGCGAGGATTTTGAGAAGGATCCAGACGTCGATGGACCCGAGTCAAGACAACTCAACGGTCGCGAAGAAAGACAGCGAGCAGGGAGCGGAAGGTGTGATATCTGCACAATAGACCTTCAAATTCACTGGCAGTACTTGTTTCATGCGCTGCTTCTAGCTCCTCTGCATAGTGGTGCAAGTCTCAAGCCTCCATATTTGTCCTTGGCTGCGCCTATGACGCTGACAAGTAACGCTTCCAATCTCTCCACTTCTTATCCGGCGACGAATTCTCTGGATATCAGGGACGAACGTTGCACTAGTTGTCTTCAAGTCTCGAGATATCTTAGACCGATTGCATGATTCCAAGGCACTCGTCGACTGACTGTTCAAGTCCACTTCTCATACTCTGGGAAGTAGAGGCTGTGAATTCTTTCCGCATACTTGATGACACTCGCAAAACTTTTTACGAGTGTCTTTGACTCTGGAGCGCTGAGGCACGAAATCAATAAGGCCCTGCGAGGCTATACAAGATTGGGATACTCACCTGTCACTGACAAGAACAGACACTATGAAGCCGAACAACGTCGCGTCGGCCTCCGATGGCTGCTCGCCCCCAAGCAGCCAGACAGGTTCGTCATCAGCTGAAACCTGCCGCAGACGAATGCTAAGGACTTGGTTGATCGATCGCCAGATCTCCGTCTTCAAATCTCGCACCTCGTCGTTGGTCAGGCGTCCCACTCCTTGACCATGCAATGTTTGCGTCACACCTCGATAAATGAGAAACCCAACAAGGACGCGCACTGGAAACGGCATCGACCACAGGGCTTTGTCTCTTTGGACATAGAAATTTTCGAGCCAACGCTCGCGCATCTGATAGAAGTGTCAATTTCTTCCCTGGAAGAAGGCCAAACCGTGGAAAACTACTCACGTGGTAGAAATACAGCTTATCTTCCAGCAGGGCACGAAGACCAAGATCGTCTAGCTTCAATTGCTCCGACAAGCTCCCATTCAGATCTGGAATACAGCCCATGCTCAGTAGCCTCTGGATGATCAACGTCGAGTCTCCCAAGAGAGAGGGTCCGTTGTGGCCATCGTTCTGCAGAGGACCGAGATCCACGTATGGAATTTTACCCTTTGGCGCAACTTTTGCTGACCCTGCTTCGACATCGTAAGCCAGGCCAGCATGTCGAAAGCGGAATTCGACCTTCGTCACGAAGGGCGACCAGCTGTATACTCCCTTTTCAGGCCAGCCACGGGAGAGAATTAACTTGGAGTTTCCGGCTGACATTCTCTTTCGAGCTGATGAGAGCATTAACGTCCAATTTATCGATGACTGCACAGATCAAAGGCACGAACCAAACTTTGCAGTGTCCAGGAATCGGAGTGCTCATTGATATATTTACACCAGGACCTCAATCTCGTCTAGCAAGGCCGGGGCCAGTCGGCGTCTGATTTCTCAAACACCGACTCGGCTCGGAGCCACCGCGAACCGGCTCAAACATCCCCTTGGCGAAACAACCGAAGGGACAGGCGCACTCACTTCCTTGATATTTTGTTTCATGTATTCGGTACTGTCAGGAAGCTGGTAAGGAGACGATAGGAGGGACTATGACTTCCGGTATGCAATTCCCTTTTTGAAATTCGGAAGATTTCTACTTCAAATAACATCAGCCAAGTTGGTGCAACAAGGAAAGACTTGCGCTGTCAACAAGCAGAGGCATTCCTGGCCATTCGTGGTGCGGCAGAAAGTGGCAGCTTTAGCAGCCAAGGCGAAAGATTTCAAGTCAACCCAGATGGCTCCCACAAAGATGAAAGAAGAGAACACCAAGGCCAAAATTCCCCAGAGTTCAAATGAGCAAAAACTCACTCCTCGATTACATCCACATTATTTTGCGGTGTGCACGAGGAGGAAGAAACCTTTCCCATTGCTTTTGCAGCAGGTGGTTTTTTGGGGTAACAATCATCCGAAGCACCCAACTAGGTGAAATCCTTCCTGTAGCATTGCACAGGAGAGAGACCCTAGGGCCCGTCCCGGACGGGCTTCATCTGAATTGTTGGGGGAAAATAGACAACAATAATATATGAAGGATCGATGTGGAGAGCTGGGTAGAGGTCTGGCAGAATTCTGAGGACTTGTATGGGTGGGGACAGTGTATCTTCTTTCACATCCCTCAAAGGTCATGGATCATATGCCCTTCCACTGTCAGCCTACTTCAAGTCCACAATGCCCGCGGCGAGACTATCCTCCAAGCTCGTCCACCCAGCCACGCCGAAGAATGATTTGATGAGATCTTCTGCCCTCTTCCTCCCCTTGATATCAGTCAAGGGACGGCCATTATTCGGTGGAGGGTTGGGGATTTTGTCGTTATCCGGCCGGAGCTTGGTCAAGATATTGATGACATCGGTCCAGTTGAAGGGTCCTGCAAACGCGAAAAGCCGTTCGTTCTCGACTTTCGGATCAAGCAACGCCGCAACATGGACTCGAGCGTCGTCTCGGACATTGACGTACCATTCTGGAAATGAACAAGGTCAGCAGTGTCTCTGTGTTGAGGCCCGTTGTTGAGCTTACGTGGTAGGAACTTTTTGGGCAAATAGTCGTTGCCCTTCAGGAGCTCACGGGGCCAAGCCATTGTATTACCCGGGATTTCTGGCGACAAGATCTCACCAAACTGGAAGGTATCTTGGAGTCAGCATCAACTTGGCAGGACTGTGGAGAGTGGACGGTGGGATGACGAACGTTCATGTCGGGTAAGACGCTGTTAACCGAGAAGCTCGCATTGTTCTCTTTTGCCCATTTCCAAAACTCACGCTCCTGCAGCGTCTTCGAGGCGGCATAGACAAAGTAGGGTTTCAGCTCTTCAGGGTTATCTTTGCGATACGCGGCTTCCACGTCCGAGTCATTCCAGGTGTCTATCAGGGCGCCATTCAGCATCTGGTCAAAGATGTGCCTGGAGTAGTTTGCTTACTCTCATCGACAGTTATTCGTTTGTGTTCCTGAAGCATCAGAGCAGCGGTAGACGACGACGTCAGGACGAAGCTCTTGACAGACTGCTGCGCGGCTGCCGCCTTGAGGAGGTTGACGGTGCCAGCAACGACGCCAGGGATCACGACGTCCACGTCGGAGAGATCTGTCGCCTATGGGGAACAAGAACGCAGCGGCGAGGAGCCTTCAGCATGAGTCCAACCAACTTGTCGAGAAAGGAGAACCTGGAGCGGTGTCACCAGCATACATACCACATGAATGATCCCCGAAACACCCTGGACAGCCTCGTCGAAAGCGCCATCAGCATTCAAGGCCGTCACAATGACCGTCTCAAATCTACCCTTGCCGTGTCTGCCCTCGAAGAGTTTGTTGAGCCAGGGTCTTTCGCTCCGCACGCTGCCGCGCACGTTGTAGCCCTCCTCGAGGAGGACATCGACAATGTGCGACGCGATGTACCCATTTGCGCCAGTTACGAGGACTTTTCCCCCTTGTGGGATTCGGCGGCTATCTTTTGCCATACTGTTTGGAGCCTTTGCTGTAAGTTCTTCTTGGAGGTTGAGTTGTTGCTTCTCGGTCTGTCTTGATCTTTTGCTTCGCTCTTGTTTTCGACTTCTGGCACGAGAGAGGTTCGACAATGCTATTTATAAGAGGGCAGAAAAGCTTCCATTACGGCGATCGGGGTGACTGAGTTCTCGTCTATGTTTTTCTTTTTTTTTTTGATTTCTAAGATTTATGCAAAAGTCGCACTGGGACTCTGGCTCTAGCTCTAGCTCTCGCTCTGGCACGATGTGCAGGAAGAGTGGACCAACAGACCTTTTCGTCTATTATTTGTCTACGCCTCCTCCCTTTCTTTCCAGTGGGGTCCGCGCGAGTCATTCCCGGTCAACTATAAATCGACTACGAGGGCAGGTAGGGCAGACAAAGCTCCCTGGTGCGCAGTGAACCAGCTCTAAGCAACGGGGTCATGATTCACCATGCCGCTGAGTGAGGTCAGTGGGAGAGGGGGCAGAGTAGATTACATGGGCTTATGCTTGAGCTCATGAGCCATACAGGACGACGGGACAGGTATACCTAGAAGAGTAGACTGGCGGACCAAACCCAGAAGCGCGCAAGTGGCGTCAAGTCAAAGTCAAGTCAATGGGCACACAGGTACTGTAGTTACATAGGTGTGTAGAGAGCATGCAAAGCTCGCTTGGGCGACCCATGAATCTTCTCGAAGACATGGCACCATAACTAATGGCGACCATGATGGTACAGTACCACCAGTGCCACCTAGTGGAATCATACCATATGTACTGACATAAACACATGCTCGTATGCGTACTTATGTACCTTGTGTATTTGTGTACATGGCGGGTGCCACCCAGGGTGCTGCTTGGTAGGGTATGCTTACTAAGGACCCGAGTACATAATTAAGCCACCACAAGCGGACTTTTATGTTCTGGCTCCGCAGTATTTCATTAGGACCGAGTACAAGTATGTATATCTTGATATGTACCGAGTCTTGGGCGTCAGGTGGATTCCCATTCAATTCAATTCGGCTCTGCCCCACTCGACTAGACTTCGACTCCACCATACAAGTACAGAAGTACGGAGTACAAGTAGATGGCGTCGGCGTCATGTGGGCTCTTCCGACCTTTTGCGTGAAGATGTTCCGTGGCGGTATGGCGGTATGGCGGTATGGCGCAATATGGGTATATACGTCGCTACTGATTTCATGAGTATGAGATGAGATGGGACGAGATGAGATGGGCATGGATCGTGTCACCACTCATCGCTCATCGCTCAGCTTAGAGGGAGAGGGAGAGGTGATTCCCACTATTGAGGTGGCACTGGGTCGGCGGAAGAAAAGAACAACAGAAAACAGAAAACCCGGGTGACGATATGGTCATCAGTCATTGGTCAAGACGCGTATATTCAACAGTCAACACATCCATCCATCCATGTTTTCGTCATTGTCGTCGTCATTATCGCTGTCCTGACAAGCCTGAGAGGGCAGAGCACAAACCTGATAACCTGGGATGACATTTTCAGAAAGCATCGCATACATCTCTTTACCATTACATACCACACATTACACACTAGGTACCTAGGACTGTAGGTATTGCTCTTTCTTTCGTCGATCGGTCCCAAAGGAAGGGGTTGTTGGTGTTGGTGTTGGTGTTGGTATGATCTCAAGCAAGCATCACCAGCATGCCCACCATCGCCAGTGCGACAGCCGCCGTCGCAAAAACCCCATGGCTCTCGAAACCCTTTCGTGCAGCGCCAGCGACTTGAGTCACGGTTGCGGTGGTGGCTGCGGGCGGAGGTGACACGATCTCGGTGCTGATGGTCGTCTCGGGGGTTGGGGGGAGGGTGCTGGTGCTGGAAGTCGTGACGATTACTGTTATGACGGTCGGGACTGATGCCGACGTGGTTGGAATGGGCGCTTCCGTCGTGGTGGTAGGCGGTGCAGGTGGGTTTTCGGTGGAGGAGGGAAGTAGTGGTGTTGTCTCGGTGATGCTTGGAGTCGGTGTAGGCGTGGGTGTAGGAGCTGTGGTACCGCCGGTGCCGACAGTTGCGACAGACGCCACCGTGTTTCCTGCTGTCGCCTTGCAATCGTCCGGGCCGAGCGTCACCGACGAGCCATCCGTGTCGACCAGGACAGCGCAGGTTGCGTCGCTGCAACACACGCCCTTGGTGTCGCAGAAGCCACAGGTCAAACCGATCGCGCAGCCGCCGCCGGCACTGTCGTCGCAGCAGACATCGCCCTGGGGTACAGCACCTCCATTGGCGCAGCATACGGCGTTGGCACCAACGTAGCAGCCATCTGAACCGGGTTAGTGATTGAGTACGAGACAGATGGAAACGCTTTCAAAAGGATCAACAGTGGTGGTGCTGGTGGTGGTTAGTCATACCGGGACAAGGCGTCGAGTCTGCTGGATCACAGTCATCTCGTTGGAACAGACCATCAAAATGTAAGAAACCGCTTCTCAGTTGGCTGGAATTGCGTATGCTGCGTGCATACCCCTGGGAGAGGTCGATGGGATGAAGAGGCTGGAAATGGGTGGCGACAACGACAGTGGAGAGGAACAGCAAGGGCAGGATGGGCGACATTGCAGATACCACCAACTCAGGCACGTATGATTGATAGCACGGAAATAAATCGATTGAGATGATAACGGCCTCAGTTTGATCCTGGAAAATGCGAATACCTTGGAATAGTGGAAGCGTTTTTCTCCCCTCGACCATTTTCTGGACGATGCACCGTATATGAGTCCCCTGACATAGAGCATCGAGCTGGCATCGAGCTGGCACGAGTTACTCACTTCCTTGGGTACCTAGACCGCGGGATGAACACGAGGAACACGAGCCTTGAAAACATCCAGGAAGACATTCGGGGCCATTTACCCGACACATGTTTCCACGATGCACCACCAACAATGGCAACCCGACCCTTGTGGCGTCAGAGCTTCAGAAGCTTTCACGAGCTTAGTGATTCTTGTTTTGGTCTTGGCGCTGCTTCTGTAGACGAAGGGCGAATTGTTTGGATCCAATCAAGGTGACGGCAAAGATCGTGTTTGCTTTCAGCTCAGCCGCACGGAGCGATCGCAAGGCAGTACGAGGTCAGCCGAACGTCCAGACAATGTCTAGCCTTGAATACAATCTTTCCAAAACTCTCGAGTCTGTCAGCGAGATCATGGATCGAGATTGTAGGACTGGTTATAATGGAGGATTTGGCATGGAGACCGGTACCTCTCAGAGGTAGAAAGGCAGGGGGCTCAACTATCAAGGCTGTGAATCATGAGTACGGGGAAGCAACACAAGTACATGATAGTAATATGAAGTTACAGTCAGAGTAGTCACAGGAAGGAAACTGCACATAGTCACAATAAGAAAGAAGAGGAATAGGAGAACTCTTTGGACATATCAATGGAGTGGAGGGTGGAAGGAAGGATACACGATGAGGGACGAGGTACTTGTACTCAGCATCAAGTGAGCCGGTCCATCGGAGAAATATTGTTCCATTGATTCTGTATCTGGAATAGCCTGAATTTCTTGGCACAAACCTATTCTATTCCACCATCACCATCATCGGTCATCTTTCTTCACCACCTACCTGTAGATTACTCGAGAACGAAAAACCTCATCACCAGTTACGGGTCAATCCTAGGGTGAGCGAAGGTCGCTTTAACCTGAGCTTTGCCTGAGCCTTTGGCTGCGCATCACTGAGCGCCTAATCAAGCCTCTCGGAGTCGTACAACCCTGCCTTTCGACTAGACATCTGTTTCAGACCGGTGCTAGGGGGACCTGGTAAATCGCCTACCTTTACTCTGCGACAAAATCCGTCCGAACACAAACGTCTGCTCATTGACCGCTGGTTAACAGCAGCGAGGAGCCTCCAGAAGATGAGAGGTACAGAGTACAGCCTGGCTAACGGCCATACTTCCGTATAAGGGTGAAAGTGCCGTAGAAATGGGTTGTTTAACAACTGTCCCTGGTCGATCAACAGGCTCTCGAAACTTGGTCTAAACTTGCTGCAGGCACATGCATGAGAGCATGCATGAGACGCGGATATGTATCAAACGTGATCCGAGACCTCTTCAACGTCCCACCACCGGATTGATGCCCAGAAGACCTTCTGAATCACTTTGATTCACCCTCACATGTCGGCCAAGGTGAGGCGACTTTGGGCTAGATTGATCTTTGTCGACTCCATGAATCATGGTTCGGATCAACGGTTCGCCTGGTAAAGCTTGACTTTGATCCTAAGCGAAACAAGGCACCTATGCGCGGGGGCACACGGACTGCAGGAGGCCTAATACACGGCACGACCCCTGCTGCGGCTAATGGGGCGGAAACCCTATCTGTGAAGCCTCTGGAGACCGAGCGAGGGGCAAGCCTCGAACGTCCTGGGCTCATGCCTGCGTAGAGGGAGTGCCAATATGGAGTTCGAAATCTGTTATTATCCCGCAGAGGAGACCCGTGTGCCTCCTCTGCACCAGAATCTCTCTTCATTGTTGACATCCCCGTACTAACTTTGGATTGCTTGGCCCACTTTGCCACGACATTCACTCTACGTGTAGAAAGATGAGGGCTGTTCAAGCCTGTTGGATGGTGTTCTTCCTGTTGCTTCGGCTCGCAATTTCATCCAAGACGTGCTACACACCGGCCGGCGAAGATACAAATGGCCCTTACTCGACCCCCCAGAACAGCACCTATCAACCATGCAACCCTACAGACGGTACGGTGTCAATGTGTTGCGCCAGCTGGGACACATGTATGCCCAACGGTCTTTGCTGGAACGAGGCGTACCACATCTGGTGGCGTGAAAGCTGTACCGATCCAGATTTTACCGATCCCAATTGCGTCAAGCTGTTCACCAACATAACTGGAGGTACGTATGGAACAAGGTGCTGCGATTTCTCATCTCTTGCGTACATTGAGTGCTAAAGTATATATCTATCTAGACACGACAGTATCAAATTGTACTGACGGAAGTTGGTGTGTCGGCACAAAAAGTGGCTGCTGTTCGGATCATACAGGAGTCTTTCTTGCAGCAAACAACGACACCTTGCCTGTAACCTCCAGTGCCGCCGTCTCGGCCAGTCCTACCCCCATCGTTTCTGCGAGTAGCACGAGTTCGTTATTGAAAACGACTACTATCGCTTCCTCAAGTCCCACACCCTCATCCATCGCATCTGAAGATTCACATTCTCTTTCCACTGGCGCCAAGGCAGGTATTGGCATTGCTACAGCTGTAGCTGTCTCGATGCTGCTCGGGCTGCTCTATTTGTTTGTCCGTCGGCGTCAGAACAAATGCAAACAACTCCGAACCGGTCCTGACCATCTGCTTCCAGCAGAGTCCAAGCCCGGTAGAGCGGAAATCTTCTCCACCCCGGTGTTTGAGAAGGACGGCTCTCGCTTGAAAACGAGAGTGCCGGCGGAAATGGAAGGATGAAATCAGGGAAGAAATGAAGAAATACGAATCATGAATGTTCAAATTTTTGAGAGGGATCAAACAGTCAGGATCAAGGGCACTCGGCGACTAGGTGTCTTGAGGAGTTGCTGAGCGCAGGAATCCAGTAATAATTGGGGTCGACTACCATTTTATAAAGTCGAGTGTCTGGTCCTGTAGGTCATCCTTGAACAACGCTTCGAGTCCATGGATGCCTATCGTATACTGTAGGTGGAATCCTTTCCGCCTGAAGCCTCGTGTGAGACGCCACGCCACTATATCGACTATCACCCACCAATCAGCGGTCTGTGACCATTCGCGACTCCAATGAGAGGCTCATCAATAGTCAATAATGCATTGGACTCTGTCATTTCAGCAAAGTGTTGACGTGGTCATGATTTGCTATCGAAATTAATAACAGAATGAGGAGGTACGTGCAACATTGTCTCATTCTCTCAGGGGATACCTCACAGCATTAATTGGAATACGATTTTCTCCGGAGACAAAGGATATAGTTGGCACGCGGCACTGGACAATGCCAATATGTAGTGTTTCTAGCAGCCGATCGATCCATAGAACAAAGGCATATGATATCAGGGGATTGTGCGATACGTGGAAATGACAGATCCGGGTGTCAAGTGACGAGGCTGTCCGACATGATTGAACTCAGCCTTGCGGACGCTTTCCCTATCAAGACATCATCTACGCCATGTCGCCCAGAGCACGACTGTCAGCGTCTATATTTATAATTGGTTGTGTCTCAATTGTCCCCTCATAGCCTTGTCCTACCTCTACCTAGCACTCCATGTCACTCGGCGCCTTGTCACACGGGCTCACAGTAAGGCTGTCAATAGCGCCTTTCTGGCAAGAGAAACAGGCGTCACCACGGTTGAAGGAAGACCAAAAGCGAAGAAGAGAGACTCACTCTGTTGGACAAAGCAGCATGTTCAGCTGACACTTGAACACAAGGCATCACATCTCTTCTTCACTTGTGCCATGAACCACGTGAACAAACAAACAAACATTGCCTGCGGTTTCCTTCTTCTTCCTCCTCGTCCATCCTTTCCAACTTCAAGTACGCGACCATCGAACTGCGCCTGCTTCATTCTCCTGATTGCTCCATCACTTGTTCTTCTCCTTCTCCTGCGCATCTCGAGTCCTCTTCATCCTCTCCCTGCATCGACTTCACCGCATCCTCGCTTCGACATCGCTGTGCATACTTCCGCACCTGATCCAGTGTATCAGCATTGAAAACATCGTCCAGTCGCAGCCACACAATCACTATCTTAACGTCTCTAACCATTCAACATGCCTGGTGGTGGTGCTGTTCACCTTGCGGCCACGACCGATGTCGCCCGGATCGAAGCCCCTGTCACTTTCAGAGCTTACCTGATGTGCGCCTTTGCTGCCTTTGGAGGGATCTTCTTTGGGTATGACTCAGGATACATCAATGGCGTGATGGCAATGAAGTATTTCATCCATGAGTTCACCAGAAAGCCGTATCCAGGGGCAGATGCTACGGCTGCAGAGAAAGCTGCTTTTGCCATCCCTTCATCGCGCCAATCCCTGATCGTGTCAATCTTGTCTTGTGGAACTTTCTTTGGTGCAAGTATGTCAGCTGAAAGTCGTTGCTCTCAAGCCATGCTGACTTCGTCTTTTCAGTCATTGCGGGCGACCTAGCCGACTTCATCGGCCGCCGAACCACCATCATTGCCGGTTGCGTCGTCTTCTGTCTCGGTGCCGCCCTCCAAACTGCTTCCACAGCTTATGGTCTTCTCATCGCCGGACGTCTCATCGCTGGCTTTGGTGTTGGTTTCGTGTCTGCCATAATCATACTGTACATGTCGGAAATTTCGCCCCGCAAGGTTCGGTGAGTCTCCCAAGGCCTAGCTGGGTGTTGTTTATGTGGCCAGTACTGACGCCACGACTGTAGCGGTGCTCTTGTGTCTGGCTACCAGTTCTGCATCACCCTCGGGCTCTTGTTGGCGTCGTGTGTTGTCTACGGCACGGAAAACTTCACCGACTCCAGCTCATACCGAATACCAATCGCTCTCCAGATGCTCTGGGCTATTATCTTGGCGACAGGACTGTTTGTGCTGCCTGAATCTCCACGTTATTTTGTCAAACGTGGGAACCTTGACAGAGCAACCCATGCTCTTGCCAGGCTGCGAGGTCAGCCTCGTGACTCTGAGCTGATCCAGCAAGAACTGGCAGAGATCGTCGCAAACCACGAGTATGAGCTGCGGGTCGTTCCCCAGGAAAGTTACGTTGCGAGCTGGGCCAACTGCTTCAGAGGGAGTCTGTTCAGACCGAGCTCAAACCTGCGACGGACGATTTTGGGTACTTCTTTGCAGATGATGCAGCAGTGGACCGGAGTCAACTTCATCTTCTACTTGTAAGTCATTTCAGCAACTTGCACATTTCTCACATATGTCTTACCACGGACCTCGTTTGACTATATGCGACTGACGCGGAGAGTAGTGGTACCACTTTCTTCACCCAGCTTGGATCCATTCAGAATCCCTTTCTGATTTCTCTCATCACCACCCTTGTGAATGTCTGTTCGACACCGCTGTCATTCTGGATCATCGAGCGATTTGGTCGGCGGTCCATCATGATCTGGGGTGCTCTCGGCATGGTCGTGTGTCAGTTCATCGTGGCAATTGCTGGAACTATCGACGGCCGCAACCCACAGACAGTCAAGGCGGAGATTGCATTCATTTGCATTTACATCTTCTTTTTCGCAACCACTTGGGGACCAGGTGCGTGGGTGGTGATCGGAGAAGTCTTTCCTCTGCCTATCCGATCGCGCGGAGTCGGGCTATCTACCGCCTCGAATTGGCTGTGGAACTGTGTAAGTGGACAGGCGTTTCCGTTTGCGAGACTTCACTAACGCAATCCATGTGATAGATCATTGCCGTCATCACACCATACATGGTCGGAACCGACAAAGGCAACCTCGGGCCCAAGGTTTTCTTCATCTGGGGTTCCCTGTGCGCATGCTGCCTTGTGTATGCCTATTTCCTCATTCCTGAGACCAAAGGCCTTACGCTCGAACAAGTCGACCGCATGCTGGAAGAGACGACTCCACGGACGTCATCGCGATGGACGCCAAAGACGACCTATGCGGCAGCAATGGGAGTTAATGAAGCTGGTGAACTCAAATCAGAGGTCGTTGAAGGCATCCATCATAAGAGTTCTGCTGTTTGAGGGCCATTAAATCTATATGATTAGATGGGGGTGTTCTAGGCTTGCGGTCACTCAAGATCAAACAAGGATAGACAATATGAGGGCGGATGGATAAATCGGCAAAACCTCGGTTACGCCTGTTGAGGCTGTAGCTGTAAGAGGTTCTCGTCTCCTACTGAGGGGATGGTCAGATAATGGTAGAAGTTCTACGTTCTATACCATATTTCCAGTTTGAAGATTCTCTCTGAGTAGACAGGAAGAAAAAGGGGAGCAGACGACACCTTGTGGCTTCTATATAGATCCCTTTCCTGGTTGGTCGGTCTATGGAAACACCCAACGAATTCCCGGTAAAGAGGCATGACAGGCGAACAAAACTGCTATAATTTGGCCTTGTCCTGGGACCACGGCTCACCCACCAAGGTCAAGCCGGTGATCTTTTCTAGTTCCTGGACGGCCTCCTTTGTCTTGCCGAGGACGACGCGGATGGTGCGCATGCCCAGGGCGCGGGCGGTCTTGAGGTTCTCGCCGATGTCGTCGAGGAAGACGACGTCGTGGAATTGGATGTCGGACCCCCACTTCTCGCGCATCAGGGCCAGGGCGTGCTCGTAGATGTCGCGGTTGGGCTTGCGCATGCCGACGTGGGCGCTCGAGACGAAGATCTCGAAGACGTCGCGCACGTCGACGGGCGACGGGTTGTTGAACGGGTGGCCCTCCGGGTAGACGGTGGTGTTGGACAGCGCCGCCAGCCGGTACCGCCCGTCGGCCTGCAGCTTGAGCAGCGCCGGGTACATCCACGGGTCCGGGTTGCGCGAGTAGGTCATCATGTTCCAGTACAGTGTCTTGGTGTCGAATTTGGGCACGGGCGGCAGTTTCGACGGGTCCGTGATGGACAACTTCTCGCGGTGGAATTGCGCCCACAGGTCCGCCCGCTCCAGGTCCGCCTTGAACAGCCGGAAGTAGTCGTCGTCGTTGGGGATCTCGCCGCGTTCCAGCTTGTGCCACGCCCCGTCCGGCGTCAGCGCCCGGATCGAGTAGTTGATGTAGCCCTTTGGAATGCCGTTTTCGATCTCGTACTCGAGGATGGCTTGGAAGGGCGATTGGACCTAAAGAATTGGGAAACACAAGTCAATAATCGTCCATCTCGGGCGAATACGAGACCTTGTACGTGCAGAGCTTTCTTTCCCTCTCTCTTTTTCCAAACGCTCTCTTTTTTTTCCTTTTCTTCCTTCGTTCCCTCTTGCCCATCCTCTCCAGACGTGCCAGCAAATACAAAAAGCGACCAGATCTGACGACGGGCTCATAATTTCAAGAATTGTTTCCCACGCAGATTCCAAGTTGGAAAGTCCAGGGGAGAACAACTTACACAAACACCTCCAATATCAAACATCAGCACCTTGGGCCGACTCTGCGAGGCCATGATTGGTGACGGTCTCGGGAAAAAGGTCTATTCGCAAAGTGGAGAGGCGAGGGTCGCGAACAAAAGGCAATTGATTATGAGAGGACCGTCAAACTCCTAATAAGGCCATCTATGTTTATGTCTGAACGTATGTCATGTATTGTATTGTCTGTGGATACAAAATTTTCTCTACAGAGACAAGAAACAGAGCCGGTGGAACTCGTTCAAATAATAATGTACGAGGTCAAAGGTAATAAATGAATGGTCTTTGGCCGTTGGGGAGAGATGACCGAGCCGCCGCTTCGAGGGTTGAGCCGAGGTCTTTGACGGTTTGAGCCTTACCGGGGAATGAACTTATTAGTGACTTCGCTTGTGGTGCTTGTGGTCTGCGGTAAGGGGAATCCTCAACGGCTACGGTACGGAGTATCGACTAGTAGTGCAGCGCCCATCCCAAGACGCGCCTAACACCTCGTACAAGTCGTCTAGACCGCGTCGCGGCGTTAGCGAGGGGACGAACCAACAACACCTACGAGGTACACACCTCTGTCTCCTACAACAACGACATCTACTCCTCCCGACGACCGAAACGAAAAGAAGAAAACATGGCCGAACCAACAATCACGGCGGTCAAAGCAGCCTTCCTCCGCGTCGAGGTCCGCCAGCTTGAAACGCCGTTGGAGCCGTCGACTCATTGGCGCGCCTATGGACCTAAGCCCGGGGCCATGTCCAGAGAGGGCCGTCCTCTGCTCAGCGACAAAGCGGTCCAGGACCTCGTTGCGAAAGGTGCGAGAGACTTTCTTTCCCCGTCATTCCTTTTATATTCTGCGTGGCGGGAAAATGACCATGGGCATCGGCCTAAAGAGCGAACCGGAGAGGGAGAGCTCAAAGAGGTGGAGAGAGAAACAAAAGATTGATGGCTTTGACTTTACGAATTGAACGCACACTTATACGCCCGTCTACATAGTCAACGACAAGATCAAACAGCACAACCGCCTCGTCTTCTCCACGCAGTCGCAGCGCCACGTCGCCGAGCAGATCGAGTCGCTGCTGTGGGCGCGCGCCAGCGCCGCCGCGGAGCACGCCGAACGCGACACGCTCGCCCTCCGCAGAGACGCGGACCTGGAGGACTCGGCCGTGATCGCTGCGCTGCCGCACGATTACGCCGCCCTGCACATCCACCCGGACCACGGCACCGCGAGAAATGAAGAGCGAGGGGACGGCAGAGAAGGAAAAGAGGACGCGGAAGAACAATACGCCCGCTTACGTGGAGAGCTCGTCACCCTCAGCCGGCAGAGGGACGCGTTAAAGGCCCGGCTCGCCAGGTACCGACACCTCCAGGAAATGACCGAGCCGCTGCGCGATCCGCAGGAGAATGTCCAGCCAAATCTCGTCACGAAGCATGGCATGCTGGCCAAGGAACTGGACCGCACCAGAGTCGTTCTGTTGAGGATCGCGGCGCAGTTACGTGGAGAGGAGCAGCCGAAGCGGCGGACGAAGCGGCGTCGTCGCGAGGTGGTGCCACGACCGCCGCCGCAGACGGATCAAGAGAAATTAGGACAGGTCTTGGGGTGGGCTCGGACATGATTGAAAAAAAGTGCTCATATTTGTTGAAAGGCCCTGTTTTTTTAAAATCCAACAGCAGCCCAATGTTGTTGGTACATCATCCATCTGCACTCTGCGTCAACCTGCGCTCGTATACCCAGGACGCCATTACATGTAAAGACCACTCCCAAAACCAGAAATCATTCATCGTCAGCCTCCTCCACCGTTGGAGCAACATGTCGCCTAGCTGTCGTGGATGTGGCAGCAGGCTCAACAGCAGAAGTGACCGCAGCACCATTCGAGGGCACGGGTGTCTGCACTACGGGAGCCACACCTTTCTCACCTCCGGCGGCAGCGGTCGCAGCGGCAAGCTTCTTCTGAGCCTTCCTGGCCTTCTTCTCCTTTTTCTTCCGCTTGATATCCTCCTTGGTTTCATGCCAGCCCCAAAACGGTCGGAAACTGTCGAAGAAGCCGACGTCCTCAAAGAGGTTGGGATATAACCACAGACCAGGCGGGACGAGGAAGAATGTGATAACGAAGAGAATCAGGCGGAAGATAGCCATGGCAAAGAACAGGCCAATCAACCCCATCATGCCCACCGAGAGGTACCACACACCTTGTCTCAGAACGAGCGGCCAGAGCGGGAAGAGAACTGCTGCGAACACCAGCACAAGAACCAATGCCGCCCACAGTTTAGTCTTCCACTGTGACCCCTCATACAACCAGACGTAGTACATCATAGGATCAAAGTCCTGTTGTTGCTCGATCTTGACTTCCCACAATCCCTTGACTCTTTTCTCTTTCTTGGGTTTGGCGTGGTTGTGTCCCTCATGTGGATCCTTCTTGGAAACTCGAAGAGCGAGCATCGACAGGGGGAGAAGTTGCAAGGCTGTCCGCGCCTCAACGTCGTTCTCGACTTTCGGTAATAAGGGGTTTTTCTTTTGAGCCTTTTTGTAGGCGTCAGAGTGCAAGGCACGGTACGCTCGTTTCACTGTCCAGTGTGGTGGTTAGCAGAGAACAAAGGCACAGAGGTGACTTTGGCCATACGTTTGAACATATCCTTCCTCCCACCATCAAAGATGCATGTGCGAGTTTTCAAATCCTGAGAGCGTAGAAACTTTGCCAGGGCCAATGCTTCTGGTTTGGGTTCTACCTTCGCATTCAAGGGGATATGTTGAGCCTGCTGTCCGGGCGGTGGTCCTCGTGGTTGTCCTTGTGGTTGTCCACCCTGTTGCTGCTGTTGCTGCTGAGCCGCCTGCTGCTGGCGCATGAATTGTTGTCTTGCTTCTTCCTGCTTCATCTGGATGAACTGTTGAGGGGTCATTCCCGCCTTAGCGGCTTCGGTCTCGATCTGTTGTCGTTGAAAGGCTTGAAACTGAGGAATGGTCATTCCACGCTTCTGCGCTTCCATGGCGATCAATTGTTGGATTTGTTGCGGGCTGAAGGGTTGGGCGCCCGGCGGAGGGCCGCCTGGGGATGCCATGTTTGCAGAGTTGTATGAGAGAGGCCTGCGGTAGAGAGTGGGAGGTGAGAGTCCGAGTAAAGATTTCCGTGGATGTGTTAAATCTACCAAACAAATGGTATAATAACGCAGACTTAAAGGTGAGAATACCGTCAGTCCACCGATTATAGGGCGAGATGGCTCCTGGATAGAAGACACGGTTTGCGATCAGAATAATAGAGGCGCCAAAAATTATGGGGGGCACAAGCCGCGCGAGGCCATTGGTCATGCGCCACACCCTTCAGCCTCGTCGCCAAGACCGTGGCTGTACAATATCCCAGGAGATCTTATGGCAGAACCCGTTGACAACTCGACCATCATTCACGGGCACAAGTGGTCTTCAACATTGTGAGCTTACAGAGAAGTTTGTTACTATGGTACACCCCGGTCATTGACGCACGACATAAATACATCCAACGCGAAAGCGAAGGGGCTCGAAGCTTGGTCATTCTTCCCATCCCAACTTGTCACCGACCCGTCTCTGCTCCCTCTCGGCTGACCAAATCTCTCCCAACATGTCAAGATACCCCTCTGACAGATGACGTCCCTCGAATACCAGCCTGGCCCTGCGGCGGAACCGGATGACCATTGGGGGACCGTGTTCCTGGTAGGTTGCCTCCCTTCACCTCCAGACTGCTCGTGTCAACTAATTGATCCAGTCCATGCGAGATGCTTCCGGACAGGTTCCTATCAACTACATAACCAGTCCCGGGATCTACGTCACAAAGGCCTGCTTTTCTGATGGCGTCTACGATGACCTCCCGGCTCAAACATGCATATCAGATCTATTTGCAAGCCAATACCGCCGGCTGATCATCGATCTCTACTGGGATAACATCAACCGTCAATTCAGTCTGTGCCCAGTTGAGCTTCCTCCTTTGGTGGGCAATGCGACGGCTGGTTACAGTGTGGATTCGTCGGCACTGTATTCAATCACGGCATCCACTTCTTTTGAAACTCCCGTCTCGTCCACCACGGTAGTGTCAAATGCATCGGTGTCCCTTGTTCCTAGCCTCGAAATTCGACAGGCCTCGTCGTCTTTGCTGGACAACTCCACCTCACCGCTCACCACTACCTCTCCCTCGATAACTAGGAGTATTACTACCACGGCGACGAGCGATGTGGCCATCCCAACGGCGACTGGTGTCACAGGTGGAACTTTACTCAAACTGGGACCTTACATGTGTAGTCTGGACTTGAACATCGGTTCCGTCATTTCTTTGTACAATGATTACTTTGACCACACCTCAGACACTATCTCTGCACGACTACATTTTCTCGATATCAATCTACACGCCGCAGCGCCGTTCACCGACCCTTCCTCGCCCGCGCACACCCCGATGCCGGGTCGACTACCTCATTCCGACGAGCTGATAGGCGCTCAATTTCAGGCCGCACTCGGTAGGGATATATACAAACCGCAAGACTTGCAAGAAGATCGAAGGAATCTGAACAAGTCGTGGTTCCGGGATGATTACCGAGTAACGACAGACGCAAATTACTTTCGTACAGAGCCAACAGGACAGGATGACGTCCTTTCCACACCAGATGGCTGGCCTGGACAAGATTGGATTCTCCTTACCGACAGCCGGAGGCTTCTGCTGAGTTGGGACCAGATCGATTCGCAGATGGCAGCGTACGACTTTCTGACCGAGTCGAGCAGCATCTTCAACGCGACTGAGCTTTTTTCAACTCCGTCTGTCGAATGGAGTGACACGGGCGTGGTGACTTCAGGCTGCTATTATCGTCCGGGCGATACGACAAATGCCTCCTGGGCGATTGCGACCATCCAGGACACCAGTCCCAATGCGCTCTCTCTCCTTGCCGGAAACTTGTCCGCATGTGGCTACTCACCGATAATAAACATGACTTTGGACGGCTTGTCTGTACAGAATAATTTGGCCTCGTACCGGGATTTTGCCCAATCGACAGTCTTTGGTTGGGCTCCGGGTCAGCCACTTAACACGTCCTCGGTCAAGAACAATGGAAAGAGTGACGACCAGCTTCGGTGTGCAGTTATTGATTCAACGAGCCAATTCCAAGGACGTTGGCGGCTAGAGTCATGCCAAAAGTCACGGCGAGCTGCATGTCGCATTGCAGGCGTGCCATATGCATGGCGCCTTTCTACCTTCGATGTCCCTTATAGTGCGGCGCCAGATGCATGTCCGGAGCATACCTCATTCGACCTCCCTAGAACGGGGCTGGAAAACACGTACTTGTATCGGCAGATATTGAATGATACGAATCCCCCAGATGACGATTCGGACAAGATCTTGTCGGGTGTCTGGATTGATTTTAACTCGCTGGACGAGGAAGACTGCTGGGTGTTGGGCGGTCCCAATGCGACATGTCCTTACTTGGACTTTCAGCAAGAAGATCAACAAAGACAGATTCTCATTCCGACAATAGCAGCATTGATCATCCTGATACTGACTGTTTTGACAATTCTGGTCAAATGTAACCAGAACCGAAGGAATAGCAGGACACGAAGACGAGGCGATAATGGATGGGAGTATGAGGGTATTCCGTCTTGATTGCTGCGAGGATATAGGCCATTCAGCTGCTATGCTAATGTCGGCATTGTCCTGTGCTCTCCTTACATTCCCACAAATGTCGCCATCAGCTCTGGGCGGACCCCCACAAACTGGGTCGGTCCAACTCTCCTCCGATTTGGGGCCTTCGGCGACTTTCCTCACGCAACAACATGGCAATGACTCAGCCGCGCCAGGTCCATTATGCCCTGGATCCCCACCAAGGGTAGCCTTGTCAAACATGATCCCTCCTGACAAACCGGCACATGGGAGAATGCATCTTGATGTCTGCTGGATTTCAAACCAAAAGCCAGATCAAGCACGCGACTGCGCAATGTGCAATTCGGAAACATACGAGATAGACCTTTGTACGCGCCACCCATGCCCACAGCGGAATTGAGCCATGCAAACAAATGCCGGGTTACGGCATTGCCGTTCTCCATAACACCGACACTGGCAGATCTATAATCTAGTCTTGGGTACAATTGAGGCTGGGAATACATAAAAGGGACTCGACTCTGCAAGAGAAGGACACTTCCTCTGTCGTCCTCGATCACACCATCTACCGAGCCAACTTCGACATCCGCAACCAGACACAGACGCGCGAATCAACTCCACATCCCCTCTGAATCTTCCAGACTGGGCCCCACATCGACATTTGGATAGACTTGCATAGAAATAGTCTTGCTCCTTGCTCTACCTGTCCTCGTGCTTCCACAGACAACCACTGCAACTCATTTGTGGAAGAAATAACTGCAACCTCTCTACAACACACATCATGGCACCAGTAAAAGTGGCCGTCGCGGGAGCCACGGGCAACGTTGGACTGCCCGTCATTCAGGCACTTCTTGACGCCAACTATTCTGTAACTGCATTGACGCGCAAGGGAAGCAATAGCGCCTCCAAACTGCCTCAGTCTAGCAACCTCACAGTCAAAGAAGTCGACTATACGTCGGTGTCGGACCTCAAAGCAGCTCTAGAGGGTATCAAAGTGGTGGTGTCCACCCTCGCAACCACCAGTATTGGCGAGCAATATCCTTTGATCGACGCTTCCATCGCCGTTGGGGTGGAAAGAATCCTTCCGTCCGAGTTTGGCAGTGATTTGGACAACCCCAAGACTGCTGCTCTCCCGGTGTTCAAGTACAAAGTTGAAGTGCAGAACTACCTCAAGGCCAAAGTCAAGGAGAATCCGAACTTCAGCTACACGTTCCTGTACACGGGTCCCTTTTTCGACTGGGGCCTCGAGCACGGCTTCTTCTTGAATCCGGCCAAACACTCGGGCGTTTTGTATAACGGCGGCGACGCAAAGTTCTCGACCACGACGCTCAAAACCATTGGCCGGGCCGTAGTTGGGGTCATTGAGCACCTTGCCGAGACGGCCAACCGCGCAGTCTATGTGCACGACACGGTCACCACACAGAACAAGCTGATCGCATATGCCAAGGAGAAGGACGGCAAGGAGTGGGATACGTCGGTCAAGTCGACCAAGGATGTCTACCAGGAGAGTTTGGACGAGTTGACCCAGGGCGGAGACATTGGCAAGGCCATGGTCGGGTTCATTCTGAGTGGTATTTTCGGTGGTGACGAGACGGGCGCGAGCTACGAGGGTCACACGGACAATGCACTGCTGGGCATCAAGGAGTTGAGCGAGCAGGAAGTCAAGGAAGTCGTCCAGCGCTTTGTGTAAGTTCTTGTCCACAGAGTCTTGGGCCCTTTTCTTTGAAGCAGACGGAAACAAGATACTCTTATAGCCTGAAACCTGAAACCTGAAACCCGGGTCACTTAGTTAGGTATACTTGATACAAAGAAAGACCTGACGACCGGCCTGCTAGGACACCGAACCCCAAGACCAAGACGGACGTCAAACTGTGAATAGAGTCATCGCAGAAAAATCCTCGTCAGGAGAGTCAAACTTGCATTGTTCTATCTGATCAATAAATGTCGTGGATCAATTTCCTATCGTTATTTTCCGAGTGCGCGTACTATGAAGAAGGACGGACACGGACGAAGAGACCCTTGAAGGACCAATGGCCAACGGGTCACTTATTGCTGGTTGTTTGTTATATCCAGATCTGCCCATCCTCGTCCATAGAGGCTGGTATACCTCCTGGTCGTTGTCGTTTTCGTTGTCGTTGCCGCTGCGAGTTCGGGGCTGGTATTTCTTCAGCCGCCGGCACTGCCGTCAACAATCGTGTTCGTGTTCGTGCTGCCGCTGCCGCTGATGCACCCTTCTCGCCCCGTCCGTGTAAAAGTTCGGGGTACTCGGCCGGGTCGTAGACACAGACACGGGGACAGGGATACACGGTCGCCTCTCCCTAGCCCTCTCCGTCTGCTTCTCTCGCCTCCAGCATCGTCGTTGGTGTCGGGGAGTATAGCCCCTCTCCCCTGTCTAAATCTGTAGCGACGGGCCGCGCAGGCCCAATGGGTAGGCTGCGGGAAGTATCCTGTCGAGATACCTTCGCCTTCTTCTTCCTCTCCATCATCATGTCCCTGCCGCCATCCCCTCTGCGATCCGTCCTTTCGCCAGCTTCCCGGCTCTTGGGCGTCGGTACGGTTGGACAGATGGGCAGATACAAGTTGAGAATCTCGTCGATGTCTGCCGACAGGAAGAGGGGATCCGCGTCCATTGCCGTTCCTTTCCCATTTCCTTTTCCCTCTTGGCCCCTTTCAATTCGAGGGTTTAGGTGGTGTTTCTGAGGCAGCGGACGAGTCTCGTCGTCGCGACCGGGACCGCTACCGCGACAGCAATCGAATGGTAAGGGCGGCAGAGCCTTGTCTTTGAAAAACAAATTCGCTGGTTGGGGGTGGTCCTCGGTTAGCGGTTTCGGTTTCGCTGCAGGTCGTCTATCCACTTGTCCTGGCACCGGGCCTGGCACTGGCACTGGCACTGCAGAAATGCGTGTGGTGCTGTGGGGAGGAGTATCCTCAGGCTCGAGCGCGCCGCTGCCAGCGCCGGGACAGTAGATTGTCGCCCAGGAAGATTGGGGTGAGTTCGCCTCGGGATGCTGCTCGGTCAGGAGATAGAAAGCCTCACGACCACTATTCCTCCCATCTTCACCGGCGGCGTCAGCGTCAGCGTCGGCATCAGCAGTGGCAGCGGGCGACGCGCACGTCCTTTGCCGTGTCAGCCGCAGGGGTGGCGGTACCAGTAGATTCGGAATCTTCTCATTGCGTTTGCAGCGGTGAGTCCCCTTGTCGACGTCTGCTCCACCAGTCTCGAGAATGGTCGGAGGAGGAGGAGTGTACTTCTTGTCACATGGCGATGGATCGGAGAAGCCTCGATGAGGTCCGTGATTCCGACGTCTGCGCCGCCAGGCACTGAGATCGTCGCCGGTGTGATGCTGGTCGTCGCCGTCCTGTATCCCAGCGGCAAGGGAAAGCTCGGGAAGCGGGCGAAGCGAAGACATCCAGTATCGGACAGGATCCGAGGAAGCGAGTCCGGCTCTTGAGTAGTCGCTCCGTAAGCCCTTTGATTCTTTTACGCCCCTCGCGCTCCCATCGCAAGGGACATTCGTCGTGGTGAATCGCTCAAGTGTCTCGGTCAGAGAGAGCGGCAGTGTCATATGCCCGTCATCATCGTCGTAATCATCATCATCATTTTCTTCGACTTCTTCTTCATCGTCGTCCTCGATAACAGATATGCCACCCGCCAATTTACAGGCAGCACTTCCCTCGCCATTACTCTCGCAGTACACGCTCCTGTCGTCGTCCGGACCCGTGTCTGACGGACTGTTGCTGAACTGCTCCTCGACCCATTTCTTGGGAATGACTTTACTCCAGCCATCCGGATCGATTCGAGCAAATGCCACACATCTCTTGTCCCGGTCTAGATCGGTCCAAGAACGCGGCGTGATGTGATGTTCGCACTGTGCGTTTGGAGGCGGAACCGGTCGAGCATTCAACGGTTGCTCGTCGTTCCGTAGACTCCGCGACCCGTGGTGTGACAGGTACGGGTCTGCATGAGACGCGGTCGGGAAGTGCAAGGAGTCGGGTCGGAGAGGGACGGGCGGACTGATTCCCAACTTGGGTTTCCTCGCCACGGTTGGATTCGATGACCACCAGCGAGACTCGGCCTCTCTGCGAGATGCATTTGTCGCTGTCGAGTGCTCACCCTGCGGTCTCCTCGATCGGAACAGGGACCACGACAAGAGTGAATTCTTCCGCTGCAGGTTCTGTGCCGGGTAATGGCGGAGATCGGCTGTCGACGTCTGTGATGGTTGCTTCTGACCGGCAACGCCCCAGCTCGAGGACGAATATTCTGTGACCGGCGTCGCCACCGAGCTCTTGCAGTACCGTGTCTGTGAGATCCACGACGCCGGCGTCCCCGGCGGGCTCGATGATGTCTCGCTGAACCTGCTCTGGTGATCTCGAGTCGAAGAGAGATCCATCATTGTAGAAAGTCAGGGGATCTGGAAGGGTAAGTGTCCAGATCCAGATCCATAACGTACCAAGGTTTAGAATTCGGGTTTGACGGCAGATCGATTTGGTGAATTCCGTTTGTCTGAACAGAGCCAGAGCAGAGCAGAGCAGTCAAACGACACGAGGCACGAGGTTGAGAAACGGATGTGGTTGACATTGCCTTTACCGACTGGACCATCACTCGTTCGAGACTTCTAGAAGAATGCCTCATGACATGTAGACAGCTCGGTGACACGCCAGCAGCCCCAAAATAGTCCTCTCGATCCAACATCCGGAACACGACGTGCTCGTATGGGAGAAGAAGCCATATTCGCACAGGTTGTTCGTCACGCTCAGGGCACATGCGCTCGCTGTAGATCAAGGCTGATACACAGCCAAGGCACTGAACCCATGACCAAAAATCTTTCCGATAGAGAAGATACTGCTTTGACTTACCTATCTAAAACCAAGTTTGAGCATAGAAAGCATGGAGAGAGGTTGTTGTTTGCTAAATAGCCTCTGAATTTCCGGTTGATCAGCTCTGTCAAACGAAAGGAAAATAACGTCCGTCTGAAAGAACAGAACAGGCTGCATCAGTGCGATTGTTTGCAGAATATCTTCCTTGTATTATTTCTAACCTCCACCTGTGACGAGATAGATGCATGGTTCATTCGCAATGTCACAGTTTTGACTTGAGCCACGATTTGATGGCCTTTCCTTGCTCCGTCTCGGCCGTGTCGCCGAATCGCAAGTGGATGATGGGAGCAATGTGTGCCTCGTTCGCACCGACCACATGGGTTATAGAGTCCGGGTTGACGGACTTGAGAGTTCAGCATTAGCAGATTTCTCCTGAAGGTCCCCTGAAGGAGTCGAGCAAACGGCCCTCCAGGCACCGAGACGAGAGGAAAAGGAGGGAAGAATCAACGCACCTTGTACTTCTCCACCCATTGAGCAATCGAGTCGACCAGGATCTCGTTCCCACCACACACCACCAGGAGGTTCTCAACCTTGGCGTCTTTCCACCACTCTGTCGGAGCATTGAGCGGCTCAGCAAAGGGCGTTGACGGTTTCCCTGCCAGGTAGTCCTCGGACCACTTTCGACCAGCGTATTGGCTGACAATGTCCTTGTGGCGGTTCCTCCTCTCGCTGTCCCAGTCAAGATTGAAGCTGACCCACGGTGCCACTGCCACAATACCCTTGAGTTTCTCACCATCGGCCAGGTTGAGATCCGGGAATTCAGAGGAGGGGTGCATGATTTGTGATAGCACCCCGAGGCACATGTTGGCACCGGCGGAATCGCCCGCAAGGAGAACCTGCGACGCCGGGCGATTCAAGTCTTCCAAGACGTATTTGACGGCTTCGACGGCTTCGTAGATTGGCTTTGGAAAGGTGGCGTGTGGCACGAGCGAGTACTCGAGGAACAAGAACGCAATTGAGATGTCGTCGCCCTTGAGGTCGTTCTGAACGCTGCCCCAGAATTGGAGATGGGTATCGTCACCATCGAGCGAGAAGCCGCCTCCTGCGGTGGGATCAGTCACATAACCAGAAGTGGTAACAATGGCAAGACGCTCACCGTGGAAATACACACAGACGTATTTGGCCGTCTTCGGATCACCCACCCAGAACGCTTTGCATCCAGATTTCAAAGTCACAAACTCTGGCTGGACGTGAACGCCTTGACACCACTTTTCATAAATTTTTGAAAACGGCGCGCCTAGATACCTGCCACTTGTGAGCCGAGCCCGGGGCCATTGATCGGAGCAACTTACTGCAATTGAAGCGTGCTGAACCTTTTCACCATCTGCCCACCTCAGTGATAGTCCACGAACATTGGGTATCACCGGCCTACCGTTCGCACGAGGGTGAAGGAGATATGCTGCCCATAGGTATGAGCTCCTGACTCGCCACGGAATGGGGCGGTGGCCGCCGTATATAGCGCTGTCCCGACTGGGACAATATCAGCTGGAATAGAACAGTGAACTCTCGTGGGAAGATGTTACTCAGTGACAGTAGTCCCGGGAATATGTCCAGCTTCTCCAGGAAAGAGACCTGATGTATAGGAGTAGAAAGCGCTTGGTCGGCGCTAGGACGGGCTGCCATGTTGGACTTGGGTATAATACAATCGGTCAACTAATTAGGTCCCAGAAGTTCAAGCTCTGCGGTTGTCCGCGACCTTGGATGGGACAAGGCTGTTGATATATGTGATATGTGAGGACAGGGCGTATTGCGTGTCGGTGAGGATACGACTCTATTCGGATTAGTCGACGTTAGGTCTGACAGTGTACCGAGTAGGGGAGTGAAAATACCAGTCAGCACAAAGCAACAATAAGCAATAGCCGATGCTTTCCCAGGCTCTTCTTACTCGCACAGTGTTGGGTGTCGACACATTCAAAAGGATGTAGGAACAAAAATACGGGGTTGCGTCGTAAGGAGAGCCGGTCTTACTCATGTACTTGAAGAGGAAAGCAATATACGAGAATTAGCATTAAGATCACTTCCATGGAAGTGATAAGGCCATTTGTGAGCATCCCACTAAGGACCAAAGCCGTGAGATCAATAGCTCGTCGCCGTCAAACACCGCAGCCTTTGACGGCGATGGTAGTTGCCGAGGCATATACCAAAACAGGTATAGCGTATGTTGGGGTGACGGACTCCATTTGCATGTGCACGCAGCAACCATGCACGCCATACCAAGTACATCATTGCCTAATCCCCGGGTCTCTATCTCTCTTGCTCCGCTTTCACCTTTGACCTGGCAACCTCGACCCCTTGCGGGGGATGTAGATCCGTCTTCGTCGCCCCACAGTAAGACAAGGCTGTCCATCTCCTGCTCAGCATTGTTACGGTATGGGCCCGCAAGAATGTGCCCCATGAGGACGACAGTTATGACACTCCTCGAATCGAGCGTGTCTCCTCCCTCTGTACGTGTTTAGGCCGTCGTGTAGGGCCCGCAACCCGCGAGCTGGAGATTACCAAACATGAGGCGGTCTTGACATGAGACTCTGCTACGGGTACACACCGTGGTGGTCAGACTGAAAGAAGCAGGTATACCACCAAGGGAGAAGAAACCAAAGCACATACATCTCTTTTACTAAACAAATGATCCCATCTCAAGGACATAACGGTCAATTCTCGGTGTAGACGATGGGGGGTTTGCTTTTTGCTTATATCTCATATGCGCCTCAGTCGTCTCACTGTTCCCGAATCCGACGTGACAACACGAGGAAGAGGGAAAGAAGAGATACTCGCAGCCTCGCGCACCCCTTTCATGCTATGTCCATCTAACAGCCTCCAGCTGCACTATTACCAGGTCGAGCCGCACATCAAGCCGCGACAGCAAACACTAGCTGCCGACAATCACGAATGTCTTTTCTTGGAACGGCTGATCTTGTCACTCAGTCGTCCGCCCATTCGATCACATCACACGAACAACGAACAGCGAACGACCGAACGAACCACTCACTGCCTTCAAACCCCGGAGCTTGATATTGAGCTTGAGGTTGCCGCCCGCCAACCATCTTGATTACAGACGTCCTCCTCAAATCCTTCACCACATCCAACATGCCCTCTACAACTGCGAGCCTCGATCCCTCCAACACCAAAAAGGGCGTTGAGACGCCTTACTCAACCGCGTCTGGAGGCGACGACGCCACCACCACCCTAGTTACGCCCGCGAACACCGTGGCAAACCCCGATGACACGCCCACGCGGGCCGGGGATAATCACTCCAGGACTTCGCGTGGGTACCACGGCGCCATTGCAGCCTGGGGCAGTACTTCGGGGAAACTGTACCTCTCAGGCGTGAACCTCAACGAACCGAATGTGACGGATAGTCTCGCGGCGATTTTCACCGGTGTGGGCAAGGAGACCACCAGGGATCGAAATGCAAGGCATGGCAATGGTGGTGGTGGTGGTTGTGGTAGTGAGGAAAGGGAAAGCAATGCCGATTAAATCGGTCCCTCTGCCTCTGACTCTGTCATTCCTCTTATTCTTCCTCTTTCCCTCACCCTCTCTCAATCTACCATGAGAAGGAAAGAGGCGTTTACACAACCCAACCATACACCATACACTATGCACAATACACAATACAGCGAACGAGTCAGCTGGCCTGAATGAAGCCATAGGGAGGCAAGGGGAACTTCCCAGTAAAGAGAAAACCAAACATTGCTGGGCTCTGGGACATTTCTCACAGATAGATGATACCGGGATCAATCAATCAATCACACACACTATCACCCTCACACGTTCTCACACTGTCAACCACACACATGAGAAAAGGTTTCTGATTTGGCCCCTCGTTTACAGGCCACGGCATATATCGACTCTGATTCCAGCGCCACGCAACATGGCTGGTTGACCCTCCACAGAGAAATCAGAGATTAGTTACTCCCCCTATGGACTGGGACTGGGGCTGGGCCTGTGCAGGAAAAGAACATCTTGGGCGTCTATCTCTCAAGAGGTGGGGATCAGGCCTGGACAAATACTAGGTAGTCTCGGATTGACCCCTGCTTACAGCGCCACCAAGCGCTACAGAGGCATGAAGCAATGGTACAACTTGTAAACCTTTTGTTGCAGAAATCTTGGTATGCCCGTTTTCCTCCCTGGTACACCAAAACATATCGTGGCATTCATTCGTTTCACTCCGTCCCAGAGCAGGCAACAACGTCCCCGCTGACGCCTCCAGCTGCACGCCCATTATTGCTATCACAAATCTCTCAAGGTCTTCCCGCTCTATTGGACGACCTGACTGTTGACGGCCTGGGCTTGCTCCACGGTCAATGGCTTGCCTCCCATCTCGGTTTCCTGGTTGTCGATGTTATGATAGTCAAGGATTTCAGAGTACATCATAATCTTCCACGTGTCCACCGGAAGGTCGGCGTCGTTGAACGACCAGTCAAACTTCTCGTCGGCGACTGGCTCATCGGTCGGATCGTGATATGGCGAAAGGTACTCGTGCTCCAGGCCGCCGGCTGCTGATACTCGTTTCTTGGGGTCGAAAACCAACATCTTCTCCAAAAGGTCGACCGCGGAAGGGTCGGCATTCTTGAATTTCGCACTTAGGGGTTGCCGTTCTCGCTTGGGCAGAGATTGGACAAATCTGAGGGTGTTTTCGCTGCAGATGGTCTCAATCACATCCTGGGGAGGGGTACCAAGCAGCTCGGTGATGATGGAGAACTGGTTGACGTGATCTTTGCCTGGGAATAATGGCTTGCCTTCCAACATCTCAGCAAAGATACACCCAGCGCTCCAGATGTCCACCTCGACGTCGTATTTCTGCCAGGTAAGCATAATCTCGGGGGCTCGATAGTACCGGGTCGAGACGTATCCCGTCATTTGAGGGTCCTGGATACGAGCCAAACCGAAATCGCAGATCTTGAGGTCGCAATTCTCGTTGACCAGGATATTGCTTGGCTTCAGATCTCGGTGGACGACGCCAGCCGAATGGACATATTTGAGGCCTCGCTGCACGTGATGCTGTCAGTGATCCACGCATCGGAGACAAGTTCCGGGACATGTACATACCAGGATTTGATAGAGAAAATATTGGATGAATTGCTTCTCAAGCGGTCTTGAGGTCAATAGGCGATGGAGGTCAGTGCCCAAGAGTTCGGTCACGAAGTAGCTGGGCTCAACATCAGCATTTGGGCGCTTGGGGGAAATGGTGGTGATTCGGCATACATGTCTTCAAGCGGGGAGATGAAGATATCGCTGAGAGAAATGACCTGATGGTTCAGTATCGTCGAAGACCAATTATGGGTTCTTTCCAGCTCACATTCTCATGCCGAAGGTGTTTCAGCAGTTTGAGTTCTCGATAGGTGCGTTTTGCGAGCACCGGTGTTGAGAACGGCTTCATAATCTTCTTGACCGCCACCGATTGGCCTGTCAATTGATCTTTGGCAGAACTTGCAGAATGTCAGTTCGGAGGTTTCAGACGGATCTTCTGCAACAGTGCTCACCAGACAAGACCAAAGGCCCCCATGCCCACGGGTTGCAAGTCTGTGTACCTGGCTTCTAGTCAGCCGCGCGTGTCTTGTCACCCCTATGTTTTTTCTGCCTACCTGCTGGTGATCTCGAATGTTGTCCCAAATATCTGGGCTCGCACGAACTCCGCCATCTTGATAGAAATCTAGTTGAGCAGGGCCAAATCTCGGAGAGCAGTGGAGGGGTGGTCTTGGATTCGCGATAGCGTGAGCGGTCGCAAGAGACCGCGACGTGCGTAAAGTGTGAGGGTAGAGTGACGACCGGCTCAGCCAGAGACAAGAGACAGGGTGAACCGAAAAGCTCAAGTACGGGAGTGGCGGTTTGGAACTTCGGGATGTTTCAGGTATCCTGAAAATCGCAGTTAGACAGGCACGAAAGGGAAGGGAGACGGGAGTGCGGCGGACACCGAGGAGCACGAACCTGAAAGATGTGAGTGGCGCAATCGATGGATATTATAGCATTCAATGTCTGGTACTGGTGACTGTAGCCAATTTCACTACTCAGGAAAACTTGTCGTGGTGGTAGAACAATGGCATACGAGAAGAGCAGAGCAAATGGATGCAACAGCGGCGGCGGGCAGCAGCAACAGCAGTAGCCAGCCAGCCCAGCGTAGCGTGGGGCAAACAAGTTTCCCGCCTTCTGGCTCCTCGATCGGGTCAGTTCTGGGTTACTAAGTAAAGGCTTGGTGGTGGTAGTGGCACCTAACCAAGTACCTAGTAACGGTTGGAGTGGCTTGAAAAGCCGTCTTTTTGGCTGTCAGGATGCCCACAATGCCCGCTTAAAAGATGACAATTGCAATCACCCATGCCCCCCCAAGCCCTCCTGGTGCCCCTAAGCCCAACTTCCCATCTATTATTTTGTACCGTGTAATCCGTTTACCCCTCCATCCTTACTCCCACCTAGGCAAGTCAAGCAATTCATCGACGTCGTGAACCATCCCTCCAATCTCATCCCAGCCACTTCTGTGTGACGGTGGTACTTTCTTCCGTCGACCCATGGCCGGAGAAATCATCCAGCTGGCACTTTTTCACCTCGTGCACCTCCCAGGAGGTTGTCCGCAGGCGATTTCGATTCCAAACCTCCCGGACAACCAGAGGTTAGTCAGATCGCTCCACCCTCTGGCTTTTCGATTTCAGTCGATGTTCCCGATCCATTTGCAGCCCACGAGCAGAAAGGTACAACTCGGGTTTGTCGAGCCCGTCGCGGATCCCGTTAATAATCGATGATCTCACCCACCTCGTTCTTTCAGTTAAGGTAGAACCATCAGGCCATTGGAACAACACGATCAATAGAACCCGAACCCTCACACACTCCAGTCACGTGGAAGTACTGATTCAATCCCAGCAATAACACTCGAGGCTCGCTTTTTTCACAACTAGATTTCATGGAAGATGGTGACCCAGCTCTACTCTGCCGTTGCCCGCGTGCCCTAGCACTCCTCGACCTCAAGCGCGACCTCAAGTAAAGCGTCTAATACAAGACGATCGTCGCTATCCTCCAATCAAGTCAAAAAGCCTTTCATCTATGTCCGGAACCAGGAGTTCCTAGGCAACAACATCATAAAATGGGCCATCCAATAATAAGATATGGAAAATTGAGCAATACTACAACATAAGGACGTTGGGGTGCTGGGGGTGACACCCGTGTCTATCAAAGACAGGGAGCCAACTACCTATCCACTGCTTGGCCAACATTGATGTGTACAGCCTTGGCATTGATTCATTATCATCTCTTAAGCAATGCTCTATTGCTGAATAGGCAAGGGGATCGAAGCATTACTCTGACACCATCTCGCCAATTGTTGACTGGGGCCCCATGAGATCTCGTTGTGGTACGTATAGATGGTGGGCTCGCGAAAAAGCGCCTCGGCTATTGACCACTGACCTCCAGCACGCAGCTGTGTAGGCGAGTGTTCAAAATCTGGGTGGTTAGTCTTTGTATTGAACGTCTATCTTTTGCTATGAGAGCTGAGACTGCGCCTATGTCGGTCGTTCCGGTAGATTAAGGGGGCGAACTTCGAGGAGTTGCGCATTTTCCCCAAGAGTCAGGGGATGACACCTTGACGGAAGATTCGGCACAGAAGAAGAATCAAAGTCCGCGACAGTCAAACCCAGACTTGTTGTCCGTCGGAAATTTACCACTGGACAGTGGTTTGGTAAAGGGGGACAACAACTTCTGCTGCCCTACCTATAAAATGATGAGCATTGACGACATCATGTCCAAGATCCAAGTGCACGCAGGCTCTGTCATGTGCTGGCGATGCTGATCTGACAAATCTCCAGCTAAGCCCTGGTCCAACGGGGCGCCAGGGCGGTGTCAAGCGATGAGGCTGTCTGTCAAACTGGAGAATTCAAGTGCTCAGGGTGGAAATGGGATGGTTCTGGATGGTCTTTGGAGTAGCGTGTAGACCCAGAAAACCTCGTGCAACACAATCGTTTCTTTTGGCTTAGGTGCCATCAGCCCATGGAGGGGACAGCCATGTGGCGGACCCTGGCGTCTCGACGATGCTGGTTTTCTGGAGCGGCCGATGTCTGTCACGCTGCCGGGCGGAAGCGGTGTCTGATATCCAAAGTGTTGGCGAACACTCGCACTCAAAGCACTCTAGGACAGAGGTCATTTGTACCGAGAGAAATTAAGACACGACTGGATGGTGGATTGGGGACAGAGACAAAATACACAGCCGTGCCTGCGTGCCTAATCTGCCTGACCAATGTGTCTTGTTACCCCTACTCGGAACGAGTAACTCGTAGATGAGACAAAAGCGGCCCTGGTGGCCCAGCACGATTATTAGTTGATTGACCTTGGGGAGGACCACGGGGACCCTGGGGAGTGCCTAGTGAGCCTGGCCACTGGGACTTTAGCCCACCAGCCTGTCCTCGGTACCCCTAAGCGTGCCTCAACCCAACTATTCGGCTACTCCGCTTAAAGCTGGAGGTTCTGGCTGGCATTGGCACAACTGCCACTTACTACTGCCAGCACCAGCCAGCACCAGCCAGCACAGCTCCTCGTAACTCGCCCTCGCACTCGCACTTGGGTCCTTGTTCTCCACGATCGGCCCATTCCACCTCTCGTCAGCTGGCGACTACTTCATTGGTAACAAATCTCTCTTCTGCTGTAACAACCTTGCCTTGCCTTGCTGCCCTCAAACATCCTGTTGCGCGACGACGTTCTCTGGCAGCGAGCTCTATACACAACTTTCCCGTTCGTTTCCCGGATTCTATATCTACAAACTTTGGCTCACCTCCAGTCCCTTCGCACCCATCTTTCATTCTACTAAGCCGCTCCAGCCCGAGTCAAGCTCCACTGACCAGTGCGAATCCTGGTCTCGGCCCCGACCACCACCATCATCAGCATCTCGAGGTTATCGACGTCCTCAAGTCTACCACGGTGCTTGCGAACCTGTCCTCCACATCTCCAATTCTCCCATTCGAGCTTGCGCTGCTTCAATATTTGAAACCCCCGACCTCGATAACGACGTTTAATTGCCCTTCCCCCCGCACTCAGGCCGCAACCACAGGAGAACGCCCGTGCAGCTCCCTTTGCAGCTGCAGTCGCATCTGGCGCTGCTTCTGCAGCGCTGTCGCTGTCGCTGCGCTACAGCCAACCCTATCCCTTCGACATGGGTGCATGTGGAAGTAAAGAAGCGTCGGCTGAGGATACGGAGCAGAAAAAGAGAAGTCAGGCGATAGACAAGAAACTAGAGGAAGATTCCCGCAGGTTACGGCGAGAATGCAAAATCCTACTGCTCGGTAGGCGACTTGAACAATTATGTTAGTGCATACAGTTGACTGATTTGGTAACCTCGTAGGGTCCGGTGAGAGTGGCAAGTCGACGATTGTGAAGCAGATGAAGATTATCCATCAGAATGGCTACACGCAGGAAGAAAGAGCGCTTTATCGGCTCACCATCTACAAGAACCTCGTTGACTGCATGAAGGCGCTGATCGGCGCCATGCAGCAATTTGAAATTGAACCAGAAGACCAAACCGTCAAGGACTACGTGGACTACATAATGGAATTTAACGTTGATCCGGATCCGGACACTTCGCTCGATCCCAAAGTCGCCGATGCTGTTCAAGCTGTCTGGAAAGATCCGGCCTCAGCGAAAACAATGGAACGACAGAGTGAATTCTACTTGATGGATTCGGCCCCATAGTATGTCGTGGCGTTCATTTTCCAGGCAAAATGGAGGGCCAACCCGCTCACACGTTGACAGCTTTTTCGAAGAAGTGCGAAGATTGGCCGCGCCCGACTATATCCCGAACGAGGCCGACGTCCTGCGGGCACGCACAAAGACGACGGGTATTTATGAGACGAGATTTACCATGGGCCAATTGAGCATCCAGTCAGTACGGCCAAGGGGGAATCGAGGGCGATCTCGCTAACTTTGTACCAGCATGTTCGATGTAGGAGGGCAGCGCAGTGAGCGCAAGAAATGGATCCACTGCTTCGAGAATGTCACATCAATTATTTTTTGTGTGGCACTGAGCGAATATGACCAAGTACTACTGGAAGAATCGAACCAGGTATGCAGAGGGCCGGAGCAAAACAGAGAAGGTGGGATGGGTTTGCTGACCGCCATTCTAGAACCGGATGATGGAAAGCCTTGTACTCTTCGACTCGGTCGTCAATTCCCGATGGTTCATGCGGACCAGCATCATTCTCTTTCTCAACAAAGTCGACCTGTTCAAGGAGAAGCTAGGTCGATCACCGCTAGGGAACTACTTCCCTGATTACTCGGGCGGCAACGACGTCAATCGCGCCGCCAAGTACCTGCTCTGGCGGTTCAACCAAGTGAACCGAGCACAACTCAACCTCTACCCTCAGTGAGTCCGCGTCTGCCGGTACATGGTCACTGGCGTCGAACTAACTGCGTGTGCAGCCTTACACAAGCCACAGACACGACCAACATCCGGCTGGTTTTCGCCGCGGTAAAGGAGACCATCCTACAAAATGCCCTGAAGGATTCGGGAATATTATGAGAGCCACGACCAGAACCCATTTTCGTTTGTGTTTGGAAATTGCATTTTGCCCGGCGTCCAGCGTTCTCATATGATGAATCGGGAGTCATGACGGGATGGGATGGCGCCACTACCTCGCGCTGCTATATTTTCTCTGCCTGGAGGTCTTTGATGTTGCTCGACAGCGGTATTCCGACGCCTTATTTTGTTCTTCCTTGTTGCTGCCAATCCTGCGCTTTTTGAGTTTGTCGCCGCAAAAAGTTCGCGTTTTGGAATAGTCTTTTCGTTTGTCAAGTCAAGAGTTGGAGCGAGTGGAGAAGGATATCCTTGCACACGTCAAGGCTGCTACGGCGATGGGCTGTCAATTGTTTGATTCGGGATGAAGGGCTGACTTGGTCATTGGATAACCACGGCATTTGCAGGATGCTTGGGATGGGGTCTTGACCATTGGGCAGATATGACGGACGACATTAGCGTTCGCGATCGCTCTCAGTCAGAGCCATCCCCCTAAGAACTGGAGGCAGGAGGCGGACAGCATTTGGATAGTTGGCTGCAAAGCGAGATACGACATCTAAAGGCTGGAAACGTCGCCGTGTACTCATAATAAGACACTATTTCAACGTGGGAAGTTTTGCTTTTGTGCAACATCGGCACCATCAGAGTCTCGTGCCCTGGATTTGGATCGAAGCCCAATATGGAAAGCAATTACACAGCAACCACGGGTGGATTACAGGACATTGTGAATTTTTTTTCCGTCATGAACCTTGATGAGCTCAGCATCGGGATGGGACATGGCTGATGCACCCTGGTGCAGCGGTGGTCTGATATCCCATCGCAGCCTCGCAGAAAGAATTTGGGTCAGGGAGAAGAGCGGGCGGTGGCACATTATTTCGCCTTTGATGCCTGCTCCGGGCTGCTGTACGGCGGGTTAAGACAGGGCTTCGGTTGGCGACGGCCTCTTCCTCCCACCCCAACGCACCCAGGTAGCTTTCCGTCGAGATGGACGGGAAGGTGGGTGGTAAATCAATCCAATGGGGTGGATTCGCTAGGGTGGATTAGAAGTGCAGCTGGTGTGGAGTGTAGCAAAACCGGGGCGGAAGCAAGAGAACCATAATTATCAGGTCGATATCCAACTCTTTGACTTGGCTAACGAGTAGAGGTCGAGAAGGGCTACTCGTGCGCCGTGATTACCCCGCCATGTGGCTGCCCAAAGGATAGCTTCGTCCGCCTCTTTGGCTCTCGTGTTCGTTTCTTTTCCTGTGGCCTTATTCCTTCAATGGAAGTATGTAGGGGGCTGGGTTGGTGTACGGAGTAGTAGGTTTCAATCGATTGTTCAGGCTTCAGACCAGTATGACAAGGCAGTAAGTAGCATCAACCAAAGGCTGATGTAGTAATATGGAACCGAATAAAACCACGCCACTCTCGTTTGCACATGCAAAGGGTTTGCTTGGCCTCTGACCCCGTTGCTGTGGAGCTTGAGCTCTAGATTGGAGATACGGGCGCAGGTAGCTGTCAAGGTGGGATACAGGATCTGAGGCGCGTTAAATCTGGAGAATATGGCGTAGGGAATCCTCTTTTTCGTGGCTCACCGCTTGGTCTAGCATGATATTCAAGGTCGGGCGTTGCTGTTGATCGACGATGGCTAGATGCGACACTACTGTAGAGAGAATAATCCATGGTCAAGGTATCCCAAGCAGATGCTCGTACAGAGCCCCGCCGTTGCTGGCAGTGCGCTAATGCATACCGCATGCTGAATGATGGAGCTGGGATAAAATGGCCCGTTCATAGGCTGGATCCGGTTTTGCATGGCATCCATCGCATTGCATTTACAATGACGATAAGTCAATAAGCCCATGAGGCAAGGGCAAGGCCCAGGGCGAAGCAAACGACACTTCCATTGGCTTTTCACAGCAACCCAGCTTCCCCTTCCTTCCCGTCCCTGTCGAAGCTATACCACGTCCTGGCCTGCCCCTCTGTCCTCACAATTTCTCCCTTGCAATTACTCTTCCGCCCTCACCTCTTTTCTAGAGGCACCTTAACCTTCCAGGCCCATTGATTTTTCTCGATATTATCCTTATCACTCTGCCCTTCGTTTGGCTTGCCTGGGTAGTCTAGTCCTACCCCGCCGACAATATGGCCACCGCAGCCACCGCAGCTCCAGCCCCGCGGGAGCGTAAGCCCTCGACGAGTGCTCCCATTTCGACCTTAGTAGGTCCTGTCGGACCTGGCTTTACTCGACCGAAGCACAAGCGGACTGCCACAGGCTTTGGAGCCGGTGACATCAAGGCCGTGGAGTCAAGCATCCCGGAGCATATGCGAGAGGCGTGAGTAGTGGCCCGTCTCCGATATCACACAAAATGAACATGCTGACCTTTGCTTTACAACAATAGCTGGAGAAAATTTGTAATGAGCTCCAAACAGCTGTCTCCCACGTTCGGCGATCTTTCTAACCCTGATCTGGACAGTCCCCCCGTCCGTTCACAACGAAGGAAGAGTTTGAGGTCAGTGGTCGACTTATCTCTGAGCGAAGACACACAACCTGACAACTTCCTCAACAGGCAGAATGTGTCAAGCAGATCGAGACCACCTTGGCGCGATCTCTCTTCAACTGCGACGAGCTGTATGTCTTGCCAATCTATTTCCATAACCACCTCCTCACGTTGATCCTCACACAGAGCCGCATATTCCGGGACTGCGCTGGCCTTCCGAAACCGCCTGATCATTGATTGGAACAAGACCCAGCAGAGGCAGACATTTGTCGATCAAAAGAGAATCTACTGTGAGTGCTGGGAAAGCTGTGGTGGAAGTGTGGTAGCTGACAAATCTGGAAGATCTCTCCCTCGAGTTTTTGATGGGTAGAGCACTGGACAATGCAATGCTCAATGTTGGATTGAAAGACGTGGCCAAAGGTAGGTCATACGCCACAACGCCGTCTTGGGCGCGCTGACACTGCAACCAGACGGTCTCGCGGAGCTTGGATTCCGCATCGAGGATATCATCGAACAAGAGCACGATGCTGCTTTGGGCAACGGAGGTCTCGGCCGCCTGGCTGCATGTTTCCTCGACAGCTTGGCTTCCTTGAACTACGCTGCCTGGGGCTACGGCCTCCGATACCGATACGGCATTTTCAAGCAAGAGATTGAGAACGGCTACCAAGTTGAAATCCCGGATTACTGGCTTGATTTCAACCCCTGGGAATTTCCCAGACACGACGTTACGGTCGATGTGCAGTTCTATGGTTGGGTCAACAAGTTCACGGATGATGAGGGCCAACAAATTGTGTCCTGGCAGGACGGCGAGGTGGTCACCGCGACTGCCTACGATGTGCCCATTCCCGGCTATGGAACTTCGACCGTGAACAACCTGCGCCTCTGGTCCAGCAAGGCCTCAAGTGGCGAGTTCGATTTCTCCAAATTCAATTCTGGCGAGTATGAGAGCGCCGTGGCCGACGAGCAACGTGCGGAAACGATATCAGCTGTGTTGTATCCGAACGACAACCTTGAAAGAGGCAAGGAGCTCCGCCTGAAGCAGCAATACTTCTGGTGTGCCGCGTCTCTGCATGACATCGTCCGCAGATTCAAAAAATCCAAGCGCGAGTGGTCTGAATTTCCCGAACAAGTGGCCATTCAGCTCAACGACACGCATCCGACCCTTGCCATTGTCGAGTTGCAACGAATCCTGATCGACATGGAAGGTCTCGAATGGGACACCGCCTGGGACATTGTCACCAAGACGTTTGGTTATACCAACCACACTGTTTTGCCGGAAGCATTGGAGAAGTGGTCCGTGCCTCTGATCCAGAACCTCCTTCCACGGCATCTCCAGGTTAGTAGCTTTTCATTTCCTTGATGTGCCTCGTATGTAGCTCCCTGCATTGCCCACACTCAGACCCGAAAAGGCACAACGACTCGAAGGCCAAACAGGCAGCGCACGATGCTGGTCAAGAACCATATCTTCTTGTATCCCATGGATCTTACATCAGATATGCATGGCTTTGCTGCAAACCACGTCAAACACCGTTACTAATATGGGATCTTGTAACAGATCATCTACGATATCAACCTGTATTTCCTCCAGTCTGTCGAACGCCGCTTCCCAAAAGACCGCGATATGTTGGCCCGAGTCTCTATCATTGAAGAATCCCAGCCCAAGATGGTCCGGATGGCCTTCCTGGCAATTGTCGGCTCCCACAAAGTCAATGGAGTGGCTGAACTGCACTCGGATCTGATCAAGACCACCATTTTCAAAGACTTTGTCAAAGTCTATGGCCCGGACAAGTTCACCAACGTCACCAATGGCATCACTCCCCGACGATGGCTGCACCAGGCAAATCCGCGTCTTTCCGAATTGATTGCTTCGAAGATTGGAAGCTACGAGTTCCTAAAGGATTTGACACTGCTCAACAAACTGGAACCGTTTGCTGACGACAAAGCGTTCAAGAAGGAGTGGGCGGAGATCAAGTACGCCAATAAGGTCCGACTTGCCCAGCATATCCTGAAGACTACCGGGGTGAGCGTCAACCCCAAAGCTCTCTTCGACATTCAGGTCAAACGCATTCACGAATATAAACGCCAGCAACTCAACATTTTTGGTGTGATTCATCGTTATCTGGCGATCAAGGCCATGACCCCTGAGGAGCGCAAGAAGGTTTCGCCCAAAGTGTCCATCTTTGGTGGCAAGGCAGCTCCAGGCTACTGGATGGCCAAGACCATTATTCATTTGATTAACAAGGTCGGCGAAGTCGTCAATCAGGATCCCGATGTTGGTGATCTGCTCAAAGTGGTCTTTGTGGCAGATTATAATGTCAGCAAGGCAGAAATCATTATTCCGGCCTCGGATATCAGTGAACATATCTCTACGGCTGGTACCGAAGCCTCAGGCACCAGTAACATGAAATTTGTGCTGAATGGCGGTTTGATCATTGGCACACTGGATGGGGCGAACATTGAGATCACGCGCGAAATCGGAGAGCAGAACATCTTCTTGTTTGGCAATCTGTCCGAGGACGTGGAGGACTTGCGCCATAACCACTTCTACGGCAACTACCAGGTCAATCCCGAACTGCAGAAGGTGTTTGACAGCATCAAAAAGGGCACTTTCGGGGACGAGACCGCTTTTGGCGCCCTCATCAGTGCTATTGCGGAGCACGGCGACTACTACCTTGGTAAGAACCTTGGAGCTTGAACAGCAGATCAGAGGCTGACGAAATGACTCCACAGTGAGCGATGACTTCAACAGCTATTGCCAGACACAGGACCTCATCGACGAGGCATACAAAGACCAGGACTCCTGGGTCACCAAGTCAATTATGAGTGTGGCCCGAATGGGCTTCTTCACGTCGGGTACGTCCAACTTGCGCACACTTCCAGAACATTGTGAGTAGTTAGCTAACCTTGTATCTAGATCGCTGCATCAACGAGTATGCCGATACGATTTGGAACATTGAACCTCTCGACGTCAAGGATGAGAATGAGGTCAGAGCACGAACTGGCCTTGATACCTAGACAGAGAGGGGTTGAATGGTGTTCTTTCTTTAGACATCGGACCGGCAATGATTACAGAAAGAGCCTTGGCTTCCTCAACGCATTGAACTGAGACCTCTCGAATTAGGAGTGCGGGAAAACAATGGATACAGCAAAATCAACCCTATAGGATGGCACTCCGGGATTGTCAGCCAGAGCAGGAAGAAGGAGTTAGCGGCCGCAGAGAATGATGACGACCTCATTGAACACAGTCACCTAAGTACCTAGTATGAAAATTGAGCCACGTAGTAAGACAAGCAAGTTTACAAGATTGGAGATGTTCGCGCTCCGAGCCTTGGTAACGATTTCGCGATGTATCAAGGGGCCCTTACGGGAATTGACCGAAGTCTTGGCACTACCTTGGATTCCGGCAGTGGCGCCAAGGGCGGAACCACGTGCAAATCGGAGAAACTAAAACCCGAAATCTGATACGGACTCCTTTCTCTCATTCCTCAGCGGAAACGGGCATCCTTGTTTCTGATCACACGTCGACTACATAGAGGTGCGCTTCATCTCTGCCTCTGGGATGCGTAATATAATCTACCTGCTTGCCTTTTTCTGTTCTTGACATGCCTTGCATATTGTTTTCATTTTCAATATGACAACCATTACGCCGCAGGTCGCCGTCGTTGACTTCCACCACGCTCGGTACGTTTGATCTTTTCGGGGCTATTCAACCCTGGTCCATTCCCCAATAGCTTCATATATCACATGAGAGACACTACTTCCTTTGACTAACGGATCGTTGGGATCAGTGGTCCGGAGATTGAGTTCTGGGTTCACAGCGATGGCGAAAACCTGTATAAACTCAACGATTGGTCGTTGCTGCCGTTCATGGCGCTGTCTGATGGCGCGCACGCCATGGCGGAGGAGTTTAGCTATTTTACGCTGCTCGACAACCGGAGCCCCGACGCTGACCCTGTCGTGACTCCTCCATCAAGTGCCGAGGCGAAGCCACGCGAGACGGGAGCGGTGACGAGCGCGGCCACGAGTCTGTTTGGTATCTCCTGCACGCGACAGATCCGGTCGGAGAAACTCAAGCGCCGCTCCGTGGACGTCACGCGGTCGACTGTCCAGAAGGCCGTGGTCGTCATCTCGCCCACAGCGAGAGGTATGGGGGAGTTGAGGGAAAGGCTGGGCATCGTCACGGCGGCCTGGTTTGCGCAGGAGTAAGTTTGGAAGCCTCACCACTTCCGTTGCCTAGGGAGTGGTGTGGGTCGGTGCCTCGCGGTATGGGAGTTGCTGATATTTGAGACAGAGACTTTTCGGACATCTCGATTTTGAAGGTGGGTGAGTTTGCCTGCACTCTGGCATGCAAAAGGAGAGACGTGATGGGGAGAAGATGCTGATTGTTCCGGTCTACAGGAATTTCAAGATAGTCTGGTCAGAGCGCCGCCTACGCATGAGGACGGCAAGGACCATCATTTCGGTACGTCCCTGGCTGATCTATACACTTTTTTTGTTTCTAGTATCCTGTGCCATCCAATGGGTCGCTTTTGGACGATGCGCCGGCACGAACTCGAGTCTCAGTGCGAGAGAAGCTGATTTCGGGATTGCTCACAGGTCTCTCTCTGAGAGAAATGATATATGAATTTCGGCATCAGACCTTGGCTCTAGTCAAATGCCTCCTGCTGCAGCGAAAGGTAAGATTTTTGCCTACCCGGACACTTCTTGCTGGACCTCTCTGCTCAAAACATCCCTCGTGTCTGCCAATGCGATGCAATGCTCTCTGTCTATTATACTTACACATTGTGCTTTCTGTTGCAGATGCTCTTCTTTGGCTCCAAGTGTGAAAGGCTGTGCATGATGCAGTTTGCCCTCATATCGCTCATTCCTGGACTTATTGCAAACTTGCAAGACGCAGCAGATCCGAGTCTGGACAACTACGCACACAAGGCGCAGAAGGCGACGAGCCTGAGGACGGGCGATAGATCCTCATGTACGTGCTTAGATACGCATGGCCACTGAGAAAGACGCTGACATGGGTATGCAGTATTGGCATTCATGGGCTTGCCATTACAGCTGTTTGGAAAGGTGAGTCTGTAGAGGAGAAACTCGCGATATTTCTTTGATAGACATCGAGCTTCATCCGTACGTCCGCAGCGGCTAACCAGCTCCATCGCTTGGCCGGTCTCTAGGGTTCAATCTTTGGTCCATACACGCCCCTCCAGCAACTTGACATTCTTGCCGACTATGACACCAAATCCTACGTCGTCGGTTCCACCAACAGCCTCCTCCTCCAGCAAAAGGAAAAGTACAGCGACATTCTCATCAACCTCGACGAGTCCAACTCGATGACGGTCACGTCTCCGTCTTTGCGCGCCGCTCTGGCCCTGAGTGCCGCGGATCGACGGTGGATCGACTACCTCACACAGACCGTTCTGGACACGTGGGACCCAGAAAACCCGAGCCGGCCGAGGAACATGGGCTATGCCGGGTCGGAAGATGCCATTCGCATGCAGTTCGAGGAGTACATACTCTCGCTACTCAGCAGCATGGCCTATCAAATCTACCACGAAACCGTCTCGGAGAGCGGCATCCCGGCCTCGGTGGCCAACATCGAGAACTTCCCCGAACCGGGAGACACGGCGACGGATTTCAACCCGGAATTCCTGGCCATGTGGCGCACGACGAATAATTTCGCCCTGTTTGACCGCCTCACGCGGGGGAACCGCATCTTCGACATCATCGAACCGCGGCACCCGACCGGCGGGGGATTGACGGTCGAGGACCTGCAAAGGCGGGTTGCGAGGGGGATGGCGGAGCTTCACCTCGACGAGAAGGTGAGGGAGGGACGCGAACAGTTGGGCCGCACGCTGCAGAGCGGGCGGGAGAGAGTCGAGGCCGGGATGGCCAGGTTTTGGGCCGAGCTGGAAAAGGCGCGGGAACAGCGGGCGCAGCAGCGGGCGACCAAGATGACGAGTGGGAGTCACGGCACGGCGAGGACAAGTGGGGAAGGCGAACAGCATCAAGACCCCGCGACGAAGCCATCCGCCGTGGCACTGTCGAGCGCGAGCTCGAACTCGAGTTGGATGGTGGTCGAAACCGAGGGAGAGCCCGGCACTGGATCTGCATCATCAAAGACGACGCAGCGGCCTGTCTCGCCTCCTTCTTCCTCCTCCTCAACCACAGGACCTTCCACTTCAACAGGGGCAGCGGGTGGTTCGAACTGGACGGCGTCCCTCCGCGACCGGGCCCCGCGCGTCGACGCGTCCCAGATCCAAGCTTCGGCACGCGAGGGCGCGGCTCGCGCAGGCGCGTATCTCAGCGGCTGGGGCACGTGGGCCAGGGAACGGATTCAACAGCAGGCTCAGCAGACTCAGCAGACTCAGCAGCAACAAGCGAAGGGGACCCCGTCGTCTCAGACCCCGTCCCAGACCCAGAGCACACCTGGACCAAGCGAGGCGGGGGATGTAGGGCCCGACGGCGGCGGCGGCGGAGGAGGAGGAGGAGGAGGAGG